CAGAAAATTATCTGGCTGGGAGCAATAACCCAAATTTTAACTGCTGAAAATATAAATTACCCAAATCCACTACATAATCACAAAAAGTGTTAGATCTTATGGATAGAATATCCTAAGATTTAGGTCGGCTCATATTTAAACTATTAGTATTGTTGTTATAAAGTTATATCTCCATCAAGCAATTTACTTAATCCACCTATTCTATGTTAATGTTTGGTGTAACAATAATAGATACATCATACTTTGAGGCCTACGGTGGGCACAGGGCATACCAGGAACAATTTCACAGTGGTTTGGATGATTAAAGTACTATAGGGTGTTGGCGGTAAAACAAATAGGTTAAACCTAGAATTCTATAACTTATTTATAATAGTTATATAGAATCTAAAAAAATTTAGCCTTTTTATTTTTTAATAAAATGAATAGGCCTAAGTGTGTTCAAAATTTTATAATTACGCCTATTGAACTGAACAACCATTTTTTTTCAGGCATGTACCGTCCATTCCCCTCCCCCCCAACAAAATAGAATCTATATACAAAATATACAATTTGATCCCATGGAATTTGAATCAGCCAACTCCCCGCCCCCTCCCTTGCAAGTTTCAATTGCCCCAAAAAAAATGACTGAAAGAAACATGGAACAACTGTAAAATTATATAAAATTAATCTAAATCTATTAGTCTAACTAGTTACAAAGATTTAGCAACATCTATGATATGACCAGTAGAGATGAGGACAAATCATTTTTTAGATTAAAATAAAGGCAAAGTTAAATAAATATATATATCTGTATCTAGTCTATTTGCTTTCGAGATCTAAATCCTAAGAAAAGCAAAAAGTAAATTTATTAAATTTAGATCAAGAGTATTATTGAGTCTCTAAATCCTTGACTTAGATCTAGACTCGACTGACTAGATTTCACTAATTTAGACTTTGTACCAAGTACTATAATTAAGTAATGGGTAAAGTTAGGAATGTTGGGATATTTTTCCTAATTATCATAGAATGATAAAATGTACACAGATTAATTCTATAATATACCCCATTGATAAAAATACCAAATTTATCATTCTAGGCCTAATAGTTTTTTTTATATGAATTTTTAAAGTTATGTATTAAACCTGTTATATATCACTGTAACATCGGATTTAATTGTGTGATTGGCTTTAGGCTTGCATACCACTGCTGCTATTTGAGGTATAATTATAAAACTTTGCACATAAGTGCTAGAGAGTGTGGGCAATAGAAATATGAAAGTAAAATTAAAATTTGATGAAGGATAATTAGAACTAATCAGGTAAAATTAAAGTGAGGGGTGCTGTTCTATATAGTATAGGCCTATAGGTCAATATGCAGACTGAAAGTCTATGTTTTTTTTTTAATATTAAAATTGAAACTTTGCTAGAGGGTGGGGACAATTGAAATATAGAAAAAAATTAGATTAAGTATGACTGCATATAATTAAAAAGTCCTATGAAAGGGTGTTGCACCCTTTTATAGTAATTATAGTGACTGCAACAGACGTATGTCCAGAATGCTACTATAACAGATAGGATAAATTTGGTGATTGATACTGAAGCATGTAATAAGAAGAATGCTGAAAAATAAAACTAGGGATGGTGTGGTAAAGCACTCAACAACTACTAACATGCAAGTCATAAGCTCAGATCTCATACGAGTCTGTCTGTGCAGCGCGCAGCATCCACCAAGCTCAGATGAGTACCTGACACAAGGGAAAGTAAAGATAGCTTGGCAGAGAGCTAACCACACCATCACTTAATGTTCAGTGGTCAAGAAACAGATAAACTCTACTTCAGCTGCTCTATGGATGATGGATTGACAGGTCCAAAAGGGAAACTACTTTAATATACTAGGGTCTTTATCAGGCCCTATTGATATTATTATTTTGGTACAACTAATCAATTGAAAAACCTTAAATTCTTGTAAAAGTTTATTAAGTGTTAAGTAAGTTGTACCACATCAGAAGTTACAGCTTCCCTGTCTATCTGCTTATATGAATATATTGGCAATATACTGTTATTTAAATATGTAATGTTTGTTGTTATTTGTTTTTTTGTTACTTTTTATTATTAAATGTAAAAATTATATCCTAAATTATTATGAATAATAACTATCATGCCTTTTTCGTGTCATTCTAAATTCACTGCCTTATTAATTAGTATCCCCCCCCCCCATGTCAATTGCTGCAACTTTTGTTTATTATTTACTATTTACTAATGTCATAGTAATAATTATCAAAAATAATTTATTAAGTTTATCACCAAGCTTCTTTACTTATCATAACCAATAATAGGCCCAGACTTACTTTATCAATCGATACATAAAGCATTAGTTATACTAAGAAATGGGCCTATAACTTATTTATTATTTATAGTAGTATAAAGTATAATTTAGTATTAACTTAATTAAGTATAAGCCTTAAATCGAAGTACTAAGACTAAGTAGATATGTGTGAAATGCTTGACACTAGTTAATGTAAGCCTAAGCTTCTTGCCTGTCGTTTTTAATAGATAACTTGATCAATGTATTTTATCTAGTTTTAACAGTGCCACCCACAATTTAAATTCTTTCCAACTTCGAAAACTACGTCATTGGCATTAGTGCGCGTATTTTATCGATAATAGGTAATGCATTGCTAAACCGACGCCATGGCGTTGTCAAGGCCGAAGCGCTAGCTCGGGGATTTGACATGTATGATAACTCGTAAACAGAAGTAGTAAGTGCCATAAAACCGTTATTATAATAATATTTGTTTATTTAATGGACACTTACAACTAATGGCAAGACACTTATAATGTGTTTAATACGTAAACTTATTTAAAATGTGACAGCACCGTACGGGACATGTTCGCGAGATAAACTCATTAGAATCGTGCGATCGATTTCGGCTGTAAGATTGTCATAATGGCGGTAATTTTCTAATTGAAACATATAATACGACTACACTAGAATATCTATATCGAATATTTCTAAAAACTCGATTCCAACAGTGAGATTCGGCATTCTTTGGAAAATGGCGAGTTTTTATAAAGTCTGCATCAAAAAGTCCGGATGTGGAATACCGAATCGAAACAGCGGAAGTCGGAAAGCCTAGGGTAAAGTACTAAGGTTTGTGCTATACTTAGAATCTAGTCACTAGTCTATATAAATTATTACGAAATGACTACGGAAGCAAACTAAATCTCGCTTAGCCTCCCCAAGGCCCTAGGCTAAAGGCTGAGCAAATATGTATGCATATGTAAAAGCATTCTTTGCATATTACATTTAACTTTTGACATAGTGATAACTAATTGGGTGGTCGAAGTGGTTGCATATCAGACAGCTTGTTTTTGTGGTGTGGGTTCCAATCCTTTTGGCTATATTAGTTTGCTACGCCTATAGTTTTTTACTTATTTTACTTTAGTTTAGTTTAGTAAGTTCAGGCATGGGCTTAGGCCTACTAATTTTTTTAATAATTTTACTATTCACTTGACTACTTGACTAAATTAAAATTAGACTATTCTAGTAAAAAAAACTGTAGGCCTAGGCCTAACTTAACTATTACTAGATTTCTAGATCTAACTACTAGAATACTATAGATCTATATACTATATATATTAATATAATATTATATAGGCTAACTAACTACTAACTACTACTACTATACTACTTACTTAGTTACTTACTACTAGTACTAGATCTACTACTTTTACTCCTTTTTTTTAATTTTTAGTCTTAGTAATAACTAAACTAAAACTAACTAAACTAAAACTAAAACTAGTTTAGATTCTAGTACTTTTCTTTTAACTTTTGGATTAGATTCTACTAGATCTAAAACCATAATATAGATTTAGTAACTATAAATGCTTAAACTTACCTGCTTTAGTACTGAACTGGGGCGTGAGACACGTTTTAAATATGCACTTCAGCATTGAGATGTTTACTTTATAGTACGGGGACACACCGCGTATAACCTATTGCCAGATTAATATTTGTTTTAAAAGGTTGAAAAATAAGATGACAGCCCTACCATCTAGGCCCAAAAAAAGGAAACAAGCTTAGAAAAGAGTGCGGATATATTTTTTAAATTAATCTAGATAAAATAATATTTTAGTAACGTTAAAAGATAAAACTAATGTAAGCATTTGAATTTAGTGTGTCCAATGCTGTAAGCGAATCACACAAATATTTTAATAAGGTCTATTTGTTAACATTAACCTTTAAATCAAACTGAACTGATTTTGCCTACTTTGACTTACACATTTATCGCGTGCTGTATAGGCGATATATTGCCTTGAATAATTGCGTCACACTCAGGATTTCTTCCAGGCATCTTTTCGGGGCGGGGGGGGGGGGGCAGAGCCCCCACAAAAAAAGTCTACCCCTCACCCCCTCCCCCCCCCCCCCCTCCCCACGAGATAGAATGGAATTTATATAGAAAACATATACGTTTACCTGTGTCCGCAAAAGGCCAACATGGACAACAGACTAACACATACGAAAGGCAGACAAGAAAAAAGGCCGACAGGAAATAAGGCCGACAGCTAAAAGGCCGACAAGACAAAAGTTGTCAAGTTTTATAAAACATAAAACTACAATTAAATACGCTTAATTTGTATTAAAAACAGTTACATAATGATAAAGTTAAAGTACAACATAGAAAATAGATTGTATCCTGTGCTTGTAGAAATTAGAGTCGTGGGATAGCGATTATGTTAATAATTATTTTCTCTCACACTTTGCTATTGCATTAGTAATTTTTGGGCTGTAGAGTGTGTATTCAATTATTATTGAATTTCACAGCTTGCTGAGAAATGAGATTGCTATTAAGATCTTTTTTATTTATTTTTTTATTTTTATTTTTTTGTAATAGGCTTATATTTCCTCACGGTAATCACAGTCACAACATTGACAATCATTAAAAATCGGGGATTCCCTGACAACAGGTATATAAATAGAAAACCGGAAATGTCTGCTATTTTATACATCTTCCGGTTCAAAATGGAATTGACAAATAGTGACCATAGTTGACTAATATACAAATCCACCTCTTTTTCTCCTACAAGGTTTCTTAGAGAAACAAATGGAGGACGAAATACGAAAGCAAACACTTCATTCAAAATGGGAATTATATGTTTCGAAAGTATGGGACTTCACAATCTAGATATAGATCTTACTATAACATACGTCTTTCAGTAAAATTGATTTATATAAATTTTTATAAATTATATTATAAATTACTTAAAATTAGCCTGACTGTAAATAAAAGTGAAGCTAAGGCACTAGACTAGATCTAGATCTAGATCACTAGTGCATGCCATGCATAGTGACAGTCACTAGTCAATATCAATAAGTCATCATGAGTAATTTCAATAGTCTATAGTTATAGAGATGATTGATTATAGACTCTAAGTTTAGGGCCTAAAGTTTAGTAAAAAGATAACTTTAAAAATAAAAGTCATAAGTGATAAATCAGATATATTATAATATATATCTGATATATTGATATAATATTATAATAGTCTAGCATTCAGTTCAGTGGGTCTACTATAAGGCTATAAAGTATAAAAGGAGTAGTATTAGTAAGCCTGTTTTTATTTTAGAATTTACTAGTAGTAATAGTAAGTAATACTAAGGGGGTTATGCCAAAATGTAATAATTTACAATGAAAACGATGCTTTTTCCACCTGAATTAATAGGTGTATTAATATAATGTGCACACAAATTGGTGCCATTTGGCAATTATATAGGCCTATGTTAGACCTGCTTAATATATATATATGTAGACCTTAATATATATTTATATATATATTATATGTATATATAATTATTTTTTTTGGGGGGGGGGCAGGGGGGTGACACCATGAGGTGCGTTGTGCAGCACTGGGTGACAACTGACTTAGCGACGCCACTGGCGTAACTGTAACTAAAGGCGTACTTGTTTTAGTTAAAATGACATTATTCATTATCTTGATCAGTTGTATTTTCAAAGCTACAGTCAGTAAAACTTAAGCCTAAATATATTTCTAAAACAAATAATTAAAAAACAAATGGTCCAAACGGTGTCTTTTGTTATTTTTATACCTGATGGGACACTACCTCACTACCTATTTCTAAGGTTACTTTTGACTTAATGTAAGATCAAAATACATCATCTCCCATCATTACATAATTCAATTACCTTCAGCTGTTTTAAGTTTTAGTTTACACATCTTATGTCACAACATCTATTGTCAGTTGTTCTTAGTAATACAATTTCTCCTCATACCTTGGGTTTTTATTTTAGTGCTGACCTACAGACTACACTAAATATAACTTGAAATGTTTAGTTCGTTAGCCCTACCTTCATATATTTTATAATTAGAGGCCTTATACCTTTGCTGTAAAATAAGTTCCTAATATATAAAAAATGAAACATGCACATTCTGTTCAGCAACAGTTTTACTAGAATCACTAAAACAGGTGGAATGTAGCAAAAAATATTTTTAGAAACAATAACTATGATAAGTCACATCCGAATAGTGGTGATTGACTAGTCAAATTAAAAAAACTCATCAAACCTGGCTGTCATGGGGCAGATGAAATAGTTGATAGTAAATAGAGTTCCCTGTTTCTGTGATGGATAATGTGGTCAGCATTATGCCCAGCATCCTTCACTTTCCCTTACACGAGCTAGATACTCATCATAGCTGAGTGATCTCAGGGATGTTTTACTGACTCAAGCTCTAAATCCAAACTCTGGACTTTAAGGTGAACAGTCATGAACTGGCTGAATGGGATTTGGAAATCATTGTCATCACTGTGTTTGCAGAGGTCTATTTTTGTGGTTGTTTGTTACATAAAGGGGGTCATGGTAGAATCAGCTAACAATATGATCTTATTCACAGGCAACTCCCATACAATTATTAGTGTTAATTAAAATCAAATTGATAATAGTGTGTTTTAAAATATTTGTACCCTATTACAGAAGGAAAGGAGTGCACTAGAGGACTACATCAAAGAATTCATCAATTTTTACAGCCACTACTTTGACCTTGATTTTCAACATTTGAGTGAAGGGTAGATTTATATTGTATTTACTAATTTCCCTGAATATTTATGAAATATATTTAAGATGACCAAGTCAAACAATACAATTCTAAAGTTATCCACACAGTGTAATTAGTATACTTAGGAAACTCTTAATATAATTTTTATCAACGTTAAGCTTCTTAATAACAGCCCTCATAAATATAACCACATTAGCTTAATAATACTAGAGTTATTATTTAGTGTGAAATGTCATGCAAAAGTGTTCATTTGCAATTTCATTTGTTGAACCAAAGATTCACTTTATAAAAAGATTGCCTGGTAAAAATACAACATATTTTGTTTTTTATTATCAAATGACTACTTCATTTTAAATTTAAAATCTGCTTGTTTAAGCATGAAAACAGCGATGTTACTGAGATTATTCAGTTAACTTTGTAATTGTTTTTGGAAAATATAAGTGGAATAATCTAAAACAAATTTTAAAGAGATTTATGTTTTATTTTGCAGCCTTTACAATGAAAGTCCTCATTTAACTCAGCATCCAGAATCTATTCTAGATTGTTTAGGCCAAGCAACAAATTTCTGCAGTGCAGATTTCATCCAAACTTTTGACCTGGAAAGTTTGGAGTTGTTTGCAGCAGTGTTAAAGTGCCTTGTTATTATATGCAGGTATCAAACTTAATTTCATTAAAAATATCTTTTGACACCAGACTGCTGAATATGTGACATTTTTTCACTATAGATGAATTTACCATGATTATTTATTTTTATTGTATTGTTGTAAAATTTATTATTTTAACATTTCTGGAATTATGATGTTATTTTGTTAACTGTTTTATTTTTGTTCATTCCAGAAATTATGATAATGTTGTTTTGGTAGCGTCTTGTGATTTTGTAAAGCACTCTGTACATTGTACTCAGGTTATTCTTTCAAAAGTAAGTACATCACAAAACTAATGCAACTATTAAATCTACATTCAATAACAATACTGTATTTTTCAGTGTTATCAAGAACACATAGATCTAGACAGTTGCTGTAGTGAATATTTTTATTTCAAATTAAGTTAATTTTTATCTTTGAATGTTAAAGACAACTCCATCATGATTATTGGTTGATGAGTAACCATTTGCAAATTGTTGGTGGTTAACCGCTACTGTGATGATTAGTTTAAGGTTAGAGTTGGATTATTATGTAATAAAAGGGGTGATATTATAAGGACATTAATATTTTATGGGTTTCAGGGGTGGGTAAATAATTAAACATATTTGTGTTATGTAATTTGTGAATGATTCTTTTTATTAATAATATATACTTAAGAGCCTACCCCCGGCGAATCATATGCCGCTATTTAGTTGTTTTATTTTCTACTTTTCATTAATTCATAATTTGAATGCTGCCACTGAAAATATTTGCTTTAAAACACTAAAACCTTCCTTTCCCCCTACACCCCCCCCCCTCTGAAAGCAGCCTCCTCTTAGTTACCTCCCCTAAGTTTAAAATGGTTTCAAACTAAATTATCTGCCCCTAATAGCCTCACTAAACCCGGCTCTACAATTGTAAACATTTAGCGTGAACCACATCTCACCAGACCATGTGGGGGTAGTGGTGGTAGTGATATGCCTAGAGAGGAAGAGAGGGGGCTGCTAGGTGGTGCGCTTACAGCTTGGTGTTTTCTATGGAGAAGAGAATTATATATATAGGTTTAAAATAAATTTTATATATATATATATATATATATATATATATATATATATATATATATATATATATATATATGTATATATATATATATACATATATGTATATATATATATATACATATATGTATATATATATATATACATATATATATATATATATATATATATATATATATATATATATGCACATTTGATATAATACCCAAATTAATTACTTTCAGTTATTCATGTTTTGTTTCAACTAATGCTTTTGTTTTTAAGTACAGATTTCGTTGATTAAAAAACCTATTTGTATTGTTTATCTCTAGCTATGCAGTCAGACAGAACAACTAGATGTAAATACAGTGAGCTCATTCGTCTCTTTTGTTCAAATTGTCCTTCATTTCTTTGAATGCTTGTATGACCCATATTTTGTTTGGCGGAAAAGATTAAAAGGGTATGTAATATTAAATAACATAAAGAGTAAGTAAAGTATTTTTTGGAACTTACAGGCCAAAGCGCTGGTGAAGTAGATTTCACTTGATTTAGTGACCCAGACATATGAAGGAATAGTGTGATTAAATAACATATTGAACTTAATTTTGTGTCTAGAGATAAGTTTTATTTTAACATTTTGTCAAGAATTTGTGTCCCAGAACCAAGTAATTTTGTAACCTGAACTTGTCAGTAATAATGTGTGTATCTAGTAAATATTACTGATAAAATACATTGCAGGTGGATAGTTGATGTAGAGCAATTGCTATCAAAGCCAGCATTAGTGCATAATGAAGTCATTCCATTTTTCCATGGTAATTTTGTTTTCATGTTTTGATTTGCAAAGTTACTTTGATTACTGATGTTATTTTATAAAAGTATTTTTTAATATTGATTTTAAAAAATCTGGTACTGATATATGATCAAAATGTATGTATTACATTTCTTATGCATCAAAATAAAATATGCTTCATGATACCACACATGTATAAAAAAAATTGAAATATTTTTCTGCTAATACCCTTGTAACAAAATATTACTTTTTGTTCTTTATCATTAATGAATTCTTATCAAAATAAACTGAATACAAAAATTATCAAGATAGTGCCTAATTTAATTGTGCTTTCTATCTTTAGAATGTTTTCAAAAGCCTAGTCTTTCATATGAGCTGCAGTTTTCCCTTCTCCATATGTTTGGGGCTGTTATGTCTGGATCTCAGGTTGGTTGATCATTGCAGTGGTATGTGGCTAGTATTTGTATTATTTTATGGTTATAATATGGTATTGCTACGGTTTTCTGTCATTCAGTATTTTTAGTATTTATTTTATTAAATTGTAGTTCTTTAATTATGTAATTAATATTCAACACATTTTAAATTAATGGATTGTTTGAAACATTATTTTATAGTTTATTATTGCTTTTCATCACTTATTTTTAATTAATATTCTTGGTTTGTAAATATTTAATAAGAGATTTATTAATTTTAAATAAATTTTCATATTCATATAAATTTAATATTTCTGACGTAAATTAATTCATTGTTCAAGAATAAGTGATTTGGATTCCTCAAGAACTGCATGTAACTATGTATTTCTACAGAGTAATGCAACACTGACTGTCACCCCAGCTACACTGGATGTGCTGCTGTCCTTGTTGTCTGGAAGAGCTGCATGCTATGCCAATGTTCCAGCTGATTCAAGGATAGAAATCCAGTGCATTGTTCTGCGCTGCGTTGTTAGCATGATACACACCATCCATGGTTGCAGCCCAGATGAGGTACATTTATCATTTTTAGCTTAAAACACTAAACATTGAATGTGGGCTGCTAATAATTTTTCTGGTTTCAGTGAGATTGTTTTGTGGTGTAATAAGTTAATTTAAGAAAAATAATTTAAAACAGTGCTTATTAGCTTGGGTTTTATCGAACCCTGGGGGTTTGGCGAGTCAGTCTCAGGGGTTTGGCCGAGGTCAAGACACACCAGACTCATATGATTAACTATTGAATTTTTCAAGTGCGAATGATAGAAGTATTAAGATGGGTTTGTTGAGTGCACATATGAAACAATTGGGGTTCGGTACCTCCAAAAAGATAAAGAACTACTAAAATATCATTTTTTCTGTACCGCATGGCTTTTTTTTGCTTTTATTAATAATCTTTTAAGTCAACACAGCTGTTTAAGGCTGTAGAGAGTGAAAGTTCACTGCGGGGGTTGATGTACATGCAGATGAGTGCTAAGAAATCTAAGAAGTATACCTGACATTCTAAACAAAATAAGGCATAAAGTGGAATAGGGTTGAAAACAAAATATCTAGTCTAATGTGGTTTAAATGTTGCAGGCATTGATAAATTTTTGCATTTATTTCCAAGCGCCAGGTTGAGGTACCAGAAGTGTTGTCTAACTATGTCCAAGTGATGCTAAATATATGTTCTACTGGTCAAGAATATCAGATGCTTGTATTAATGATAGGTAAGTACCCGTAACACTTGACCTTGGGATGAACCAAGAAGGTAAAAAAAACAATACTATGCACATCTGTTTTTAAAAACAAAATGTATGTAGCTGTTAATTGCATAACTGATGTTTGAAATATTATAACTTGTTTTAGATGAATCTAACTAGACAAGTTTGTTCTAAAAGATGATAAAATAGTGGTGATAGAATTTAATATTTAGTATCATTGTTTTGGAAATACAATGTTTAGTGATCTTTTGTTACAGATTCTATTAGTGACATGTTAAATTGTGTGGACAAACTAGCACTACAAGCATTGCTCATCAGTGATGATATTTTTGAAGCACTAGTTTCATTGATCAAAAAATCAAAAGTAATGATATGTTTCAACTTTTGTTTATATTTACAGTTTTTTTAATTTTTATAATATACAATTAGAAAATAATTTAGTACATTTTAGAAACATAGATGTTAGTTTTTGTTGTTGAACATTTATCTTATAATCATTGATTCATCATAAAATAAATTATTAGTAATAAAATAAAATCATTTTAAGATTCATTTTTTATTTTATTTTTTGGCAGCTCTTTGTTTTTTTTTTTTTAAATTTCTGGTTTAAAATTTTAATATGAGCCTTTAAATAATTGCACAGCTCCAGGGTAAAGAGTTTCAAGTTCTTGCTTGTTCAGTTGTAAGAGCAGTTCAGGCTTTGCTGACAGGCTCTTCAGCATCAAAGGTAATTTTAAACTTATTATGTGTTCTTTAAAAACTAAAATTGGCATCAACATTCCGAATAAAATTTAATGATTTTGTTTCAAAATTTTTGGTTTTATATTAAAAATATTTTATCTTAATTAAATTTATCTGGACCATGCTGAGATCTACATCAGTGTTTGTGTAATTAAACTAGTTACAAAATGACAAATTAAAAAGATTATTAAAACAAAAGTTTCTTCCAAGTATTGATTCCCTCCCATTTCTTCAACTTACAGGCCATGTTTGAAAAATGTGTAGGGTTTAAAGAATTTTTTGAAATTTTACATGGTTGCGAGCAACCTACAATAGAACTTCTGATGAGCTTGTTGGATTTTGTGAGTATTTTTGAAGTTTTGTTTAATGTTTTGGTTTTTTATACTATTTTGTTTATAAAAGTATAAATGAGACTCAAACTTAATTATTACAATTTTACATAGATTCAAACTGTGCTGTTAAATTAGAAAGTGGTGTAAATGAATAGAGTTTGTTACCTTGTGGTCCATGGGGCAAATGAAGTAATTCATCTATTTCATTAACCTCAGCATACTAAAGGATAGTATGGTCAGCACTATGCCCGACTGCTTTAATTTTCCCTTACTTGAGTCATGTACCCATCAGAGCTGGGTGGACTCAGGGACATCCTATGTACTTAAGCTTGGATCTGTACTAGACACTTGCAAAATCTATAGACTTGGATTTAACTTGTGCTTATATCCTATTCATGACTATCAAATTTTTAAAGATTGTTTTTCATCATTAAAATTCTACATCGTGTTTAATTTCATTATATATCTGTGCAGGTTGTGGAAAGTTCATATGTAAATACAAGAGTTCATGTTATACGAAATGCTCCTGTTGCTGTGTTTTTAATTGAATGGTTGAAGTCCATACAATCACATGACATGCAGGTGAGGATTCTAGTTAATCTTTTTAATTAACCATTTCTTTACATCTCCTATGAAATGTCTGATATACGCATCAAAACTTATATAATTTTCTTTTGTTTTTAAAGTCTTGATTACTTCATGAACTAATACTATTAACATAGACATTTTCATTAAATCTTTGTTTGATCACACTTTTTATATTGCACTATTTTTCTTTAAATTTCTTTTTCAAATAATATTAGTCTCAAGTATAATTTAAATGAACCACAATATTAGTCTTGTAAATTGTTAGTACCTAAATAACTGTTTTAAAAATCTACTTTAGGTGTGGTTGAGTGAAGAAATGAAAAAGTTGTGTACAGAGAGCTATGGCAACCGCATGGCTTGCTGTAAAGGGAAAATGGTTGGTGTAGTCATATCAGTTTTATCAGAGCATAGCAAGCTGCAGTTTAAAACTGTGGGTAGGTAAACCAATAGCACAATATGTATATGTATGCATTGAAAATATTAATAGAATTATTTGAATTTTTTGGAGAATTAAAACGTTTTACTGTTCAAATGATTTGGTTGGGTTTTTTTTTTTTATTACTGCAACATTGTTTGTTTGTTTTTTTATTTTAAAAATACGTTAATGAAAACTTTTTTTTACTCTGATTCATATATATTTTCTTTTGCAGGCCATTTAATTTATATTTTGGAGAGGCTGGGTAACCTATCAATATCAGCTGGTGAATTAAAAAGTTTAATCTGTCTTATGAAACCTGGAGAAGATAAAAAACAGGTTTGATAATTATCAATGGATTAATATTTTCCATTTATGATCAATATTAAAACAATACTGAAAACAAATTATAAATAAAAAAATATTATGAGTTTTAGTTTCTTCGTGCTGTCTGAGCAATGTAACGTTTGTCTTTTTCAGTACCCATACACGACACGGCTAATGAGGGCCATCTCCACTATGGCAAGACGAGACGGGATCTGTGGTCCACTTCATTTCTTTGACATTCAGAACCTTTCTGATGTAATGGTTTTATCTCATATATTTATTATAATTTTCCATAATATATATGTTAATTAAATTCTAAATATCTCCTTTCTTTCACATTCTAAACCTTTCTGATGCAATGTTTTTTACCTTACACATTTAATAATTCTATAAGATGTATATAGTCATAAAAAATCAATCAATATATTATTGACTTATAGAACCTTACAGATATAATGCTTTCATCTTATTTATTGACTATTATTTTTTAGAAACCATTCATTATTAAAATTCTCAATAATTTGTCAAATTTTTAATAAAGTGTTTTTTTACTTTGATTCTAGGCAATCAATTTACCAGGGACTCGGAAGTGGCCTGGTGCAGCCTTTTCCTTTTTTACTTTGATGTGCTTAGAGCCAAGCCCAAGCCTTGATAATGTCCCTAACCTCAGGACAACAGCTTCATACAGGCGCATTCTTTATAGGTAAGAATTGTAAGAATTTTCTTTTTGAATTTCTTGATTATTAAAACAAACTCTTTTTGTCTTCTTGTATTTGTTATGTGCCTCTAAACACCATAAATGATTACATTATCTTTTTATTTTAACTTTGATAATCAAAAATTAAATCTTCACATTTCATTTTTACTGTATTATATTTGCAATTATAAATCACTTTTAATGAAGAATTTAACTGCCTTTTTAAAAAAATAAAGAACTCTTTTTTTTTAAGAGCTCTTCTTTGTTTGAAGTTTAATTTATTTTACCTTGTTTTGTTTACAAGCTTTAGCTGCAATGGAAGCAATGGGTTTGAGGCATTCATCACCCCTGACCTCAAGCTGACTGTTGCCACATTTAGTAAAAAAGAATACTGCTCCTTCACAGTCAACAGTGTAGTATTGGATGATGGACTGTGGGTTAGTTTGTTTTGGTGAACTTCTTTTATCCAATCAATCATCCTGTAAACTCTGGGTGGGGGGGGGGGGGGGGGGGGTCATTAAGGAACCGCAGTAGATTTTTTTATTTTCAGAATTTGTTGTGGTATATCCATGACAGTTTCTTTTAGCTTGTTCAAATGGTAGAACATTTAAATATATTGCATTTTGATTCTGGTTGTGTAAAAGTAAAGTTCTCTTTTTGAACCTGATGGTCAATGGGGCAAGTCAATTAGACCTCACCTGTTTTTGTGACCTTGGCATATAAAGGATAGCATGGTCAGCACTATGCCCAGCTATTTTTACTTTCCCTAAGTACCCCTCAATGCTTGGAAGACTCAGGGACTTTCTGTTGAACCCAGATATGAACTTGAGACTTAATTATGGTTGCTTTCTGGTGCTTAAATTTAACTTCATCCAGTTATGTAGTGAAATCTGGGAGGGTCTGCAATAATTGTTCTGTAAACATAAATCATTTCTATAGAACCGTTAGAACTTTGTTAGACATATAGATCTAAAAACAAAACTATACTTAGTATTATCAAGACCAGTTATAAACATTTCACTATTGAGAGCTACAAACCCAATGTTGACTGTTTACTATGTACACTGATATAAAACAAATGTTGTTTCAGCATTCTGTTTGTGTGGTCCATGTCGCTGGACGCAGGTTCTCCAACAGCCCAGGACAGGTTCATGTCTATATAGATGGTGTTGTGAGGGCCAATACCACCCTTAAGTTTCCAAACTTATCTGAGGTAATTTGTCAAATTCTTTACCTTTAAAGCTATAACTGTAATTATCTCAGTGAACGTGTAAATTTAAGAAAAAATGTAAAATGTAAGAAAAAATTTCTATAAAAATGTTTCACACTATTATTTAAATTATTGAAAGTGTTTTAATTTCCTAACATATGGTTTGGGTTTTTTTAATGACTTAATTAAATTACTTTTTTTCATGATGAATTTTTTATATATTTTTAAAAAGTGTAATTAAATATTAATATTTTTTTATTTATTGAAGATATACTTTGAATAATGAAATGTATCTGATTTAGCCATTCAACATCTGCAACGTTGGGTCGCCTGACATAAGGACAAGAAAAGAGAGCATCAGTGAAATACAAGTGTACAACCCCACTGAGCCCAAGAAAGTCTCACCACTAAAGGCAATGTTCTCATTCTCTGTAAGCTCATCAACTTTAAGCTTCTCATTACTTTATATTTGTTAGACGTTGTATTACTAAAAATATTGCACTTTCATACACATTCAGTGCATAAACTTATTGCAAATTTTTTAGTCAATTAGTTTTCTTCATACTAAAAGTTACATGTCAAAATAGGACAGTGTAAGTTCTTTTTAAATTCACTAAGCATACAAAATATATAAACTTTATCAAATGATGGAAAAAACACAATAGCTTCTCATCCAAAAATAGATTTTTAAAATTACGATTGAAAATATTAATGGTTAAGTTATTAATGAGGATGTATTTATGTGTATATTTTAAATTAATACATTTATTTCTACTCTTCCCTATGATTTTATTAGTATAAATCTTATTAATTAGGCATTTCACTGCTTTGATTAACAAAAGATTTAAAATATTATCATGATAATGCAAACTCCCACTCTTCAAAGCAAAAATGAAATAGAAGTTTCTGACAATTTAAACTATTTTTATTTTTAAAAGCGTGGCACAGATATTCCCACTCAAGGCACCAACCTGAACTCACAGACAATCGGCACACAGGAAGAGACCTGGGGTCCAGCTACTTGTCTCTATGGTCAGCTGGAGTCCATCTGTGTCTTCCATGATGTACTCACCTCTGAGCATGTCAAGGCATTAAACAACACTGGTCAGTTCTTAATTTCCACTTTATAACACCTGTGTGTTACAGTTTTACATCATTCACAGCTATTAAGCTAGCTTGAAGCTCACCGCAGATCTCATTGTCAATGTCCAAACTCTTTTTTTTTTCTATTAAACTGTTAATATTTCAAGTTTTAACTTGTTGTTTTATAACCTTGACCATCAGGTACCAACTCACTGTTCAGTTTTTCCAGTGAAGCAGCTATAGCCGACCTACCTACAAAACTCTTTGCCAGATACAGTGCTAAGGTATATACAAAATATATCTGCAGTGAACCTTTTTTTTCATTGATTCAGTGTTAATCAGTTCAAGGTTACACCTTGTTTTAAATGTTAAGTTTCATTGCTTACTTTTAATACATTTATTTTGTTGGTACTGTAGGCTTAAATGTATCACATCAGGATTATCGTTATAGTTTGATTAAGGGTAATGATTAAACTTAAGAGAAACAAACTTGTATTAATATTTGTATTACTCAAGTGGAGAGTTTAAAGTACTATACATTACTTTACTTAATAATCTAAAAAGTTGTTTTTTTACTTTTTTTTTTTCTTCATTATTATTTTTGTAGGCTTGTAAAGGAAATATTTGTGCTGACCTTTCACCTTTTCAAAACAATGGGATTTTCTCAGGAAACAAGTGTATAAACTGGGACCTGAAGGTAAGCTCTGTGCTCTAGCTTAAGGAAGTCCTAGATTGTTTATTTTTTAGCATAGATCAATTTTCTGAGTGGAGTTGCCGAGTGTGTCATGCACTTATTAGCATAAAAAATAGTTTAAAATAATTTTTTAATCACATTTAAGAGTCCTATTTTTAAGTCAAATTTTTTTTTTAGTTAGGCATAAATTTTAAACTGTTTTCCTTTCTAAAGAACGATAACTTATTTTTTGTCGAAGTTAATTATGCTTTTGTTAAAGAAAAAGATGTTATTTTTTTGCCATCGATCATAATTTAAACTATTTAATTAAATGAATAAAATATTGAATAATCTGCCCTCAGGATGTGATCAACTGTATTGGAGGGATCCAAGTGTTATTCCCCCTGCTGGAGATGTTGGATCAGTCCTTGCTAGAGTGGCCAGAGGAGAGTCCCAGTTCCCCGTCAAAGTTAGAGGCTGAGGAGCTGGACCTGGATGAGTGGGCAGTTGTTGACTCCAGAGCTTCAGTTTCATCAGGTTTTATTTCATTATTCAACTATTAATTTTAAATATTTTATTTTCCAAAGGTACCTGATCTAAAATGTCATTTTCTCTTGTGAAATGATTTTGGATTTGAAACTTATGGTTTATTCATAAAATATGTATTTGATTAAAGCATAGATTATTATTCTTTGCTATGAATGAATTAAATGTAAAGAAGTAATTTGTTTGTTATTGTAAGTTTAAAATTTTTTTTATTTTAAATGTATTGGTTCAAAGTTCATTCCATATTAACACAGCTGTAAATAAAATTATTTTAAGTACTTTTATATACTACATCTATGAAGCCTATGATTATTGTGTCTAATTATACAATTGACCATTTTTGCTGATGTATATTGTCCAACTTTTAAAAAAATCTTTAATTTCAGAGTTGAAACTGGAACACAACCAACTGGCAGCTTTTATCACCATGGTCAGACACATCCTCAAGGGGAAATCTGTGAACAAAGACAACTTTGTCAGGGCCCATTGTGCATCAACACTTGGGATGTTGATGCAAAAGGTTGGCCAGATTTTTCTGAAAAGTGATTTTTCAAGTTAAATTTAAATTATAACATAAAGCTGTTCTTAGTAATCATGTACTGAGCATTTTTTTCATTACCTGTCTTATCATAGATCAAAATACTAGACCACAATGGTTTTTAGTACATCATATATTTGGTAAAAAGTAAATATTTGTAGGCACTTTGATAATAACACACCTCTGAATTCCAAGGCCATAAAAACTGACATAATTTACTTCACTCAATTTTGTCTTACACTGGTATTGTGCTTTTTAAGCCTTCAGGTCCCCAAAGATAATAGATGTAACAGTGCTAATATCACAATATTTTTTTATGCCATCAGGTCCCTAAAGATAATTGTTGTAACAGTGCTAATATCACAATATTTTTTATGCTATCAGGTCCCCAAACATAATGGATGCAACAATGCTAATATCACAATATTTTTTTCATATCATCAAGTCCCCAAAGCTCATAGATGTAAGATTGCTAATATCATAATATTTTGTTATGCCATCAGGTCCCCTAAGATAATGGATGTAAGAGTGCTAATATCGTAATATTTTGTTATGCCCTCAGGTCCCAAAAGACATGATGGATGTGACAGTGCTAATATCGTAATATTTTGTTATGCCCTCAGGTCCCCAAAGACATGATGGATGTGACAGTGCTGATGTCAGTACAGTACCTACATGAAGACTGCAATGATGGATCTAATCAGAAGTCCACTCTGCTGCAGCACATTTACCACTACATCCTCTTTGATTTCTCTCTATGGAGTCAAACCTATTTTGCTGTTAGAATTGGTAGGCAAACTTACCTCTTACTTTAACTGCAAATTTTCTCGTTGTTGGAATTTTTTTTTCTGACTTAAGATACCATTTTCTATTTTCTGGTATTATTTTCTATTTATAGTTTAAAAATTTTAAATAAAACACAACCTCATTGCATCATGTTTTGAGCAATTTATGATAAACATTTATTTTTAAAAACCCTATGTTTTTAATACTGTTTTGCAGCTTCTGTTTCAAATATTCTAAATGCAGTTCTGTTTTCCTTTTGCTCACTAGGACATATACAGTACATAAACACAATTATTAAAGATGATCGCAAGTACTTCAGAAAGAAATATGGTGTCCAGTTTTTTCTTGATGTCATCAGAGCATATTACAGGTTTGTGTTCTTTACACTACTGCGGTCTTTATCCATCCAATCACTGGTCTCTTAATAACTGGGACCAAAATGAAACACTTACCTGCTAAAAGTTACAATTTAGATTAAGCTTAGCTTAGTTTTATTCAATAAAAAACATTGAAAGTGAATATCCTGCTCTAACATAATCCTAAAAAGAGACTGGACATAGTGCTGACCTTTCCACCTCTTATATGTAGAGGTTAGTTAACGTGAACTCTACTTCTCTTCCCTGTGGATCATTAGGTCTGAAAAGGGAGCTTTATTTGGGGTTGTTTTTTTTTTAATAATCCACTGTGAGGTGGATTGTCTATAACAAAAATGTTTAGGCACTGAGAGAGTGTGTGTGAGAGTAGCCTCCCCTTGAAAGTGGTGTGCTAGCAGGACAAAGTGTGAACGGGGCAGTGTATGAAACAATGTGGTGTGGCGTCAACATCATGTACTGTCAACATCGTGTACATACTCGTCAGTTTTTCTTCTTGTCATGTGTTCTTGTGATTGATGATAATTATACACCCATGATACAGATTCTCCTTGTGGTTTGTGTTTATTTACAATTGTTACACCTGGCCCAAACGAGCCAACATACCTAAGAACGAGAGTGTAACATCCACTTATAGGCTTAATTGTAAATTGCTTATTCTAAGAATTATGAAGAATTATTTATCTTAGGAATGATTGTTTTGGAAATCGGATATTTTAAGAAAAATAAATTTTAGGTATGGTCATTTTAAAGTTATAGAGTTTAGGTTATTTGTTTAAGAATTAAGGATTATATCTATACGAAAATCTTTCTCTGTAGTTCTCCTGAAGTGAGTTGTCTAGGAGAGGAGGACAGCAAGTCTATCCGTGTATCCTTGCTCCAGCTGATCAAATTTTACTTCATGAACAACATCAGAGCAGAGGAACTGAACCAGCTTATGGGCTTTCTATTGGCTGTCAAACAGCCTACACTGGTATAAACAATAAAAACTTTTTGTAGGATGTTAAAAAGTAATAGATAAAAAGTATGGAAATTTTAAAGCAAATAAGTTATCTATTTTTTTGTTAGCTTCTATCAGATCAAACCAAATATTCACTAACAGAAACTTTTAAAAATATTTGTTTTGTTTACCTGACCTCCTCATTGTTTATCTGACCTCCCCTTTGTTTACCTGACCTAGTTTACCTGACCTAATTTACCTGACCTAATTTACCTGACCTCCCCTTTGTTCACCTGACCTCCCCATTGTTTATCTGACCTAGTTCACCTGACCTCCCCTTTATTCACCTGACCTCTCCTTTATTCACCTGACCTCTGCTTTGTTTACCTGAACCCTCCTTTGTTCACCTGACCCCTCCTTTGTTCACCTGACCCCCCCCCCCCCTTTGTTCACCTGACCCTCCTTTGATCACCCGATCCCTCCTTTGTTCACCTGACCCCTTGTTTGTACACCTGACCCCTTGTTTACCTGACCCCTCCTTTGTTCACCTGACCCCTCCTCTGTTCACCTGAACCCTGTTCATCTGACCCCTCTCTTGTTTACCTGACCCCTCCCTTGTTTACATAACCCTATGTTTCCCTTCCAGCTGCTAGAAGCCATGGACCTTCTGATCTCACTACTAGAGAGTCGCAGCAGGAAACAGGACCAGCTGGTTCTACTGCTGTATGAACCAGACCAGGCGGAAATGTTTTACAAGCTGTTGACCTACCAAAACCAGCCCATCATTTTCTATGAGAAGGTTGTTAAGGTGAGTTGAGAAGTAACAATCTAGTGAGAAATATTTTCTTATGTTTGGTGTAAAAGTGTTAGGAGTGTATATTAGATAAGTGGACACCAAGATTTTGTGAATGATCCAAGTTGTGCCATGACCAGAACTGGAACTCAGGAACTGCTACATGCTGTATTATTTTAAACACACTTTGAAACCCTTAAGTCTGTTTGGACGGATAAAGTGAAGTGCATTTGAAACTTTGGAACATGTAGGAAAAGTATGGGCATCATTAAAACCCAGACTCCCTTATTTAAGCTGATTTGGCTTAGTTACCTATAAAAGAAGGGTAGACTCAGGAAAGGCAGCTGGACTCAGACTAGGGCCTGAACTCTAGACATGTAGTCTGGCATTTACATGCTGTAACACTCAACCATGCTATTCCACATTTCAGGAATTCCCCTTACAAAACCTGGCTTTTTTTTTTAATTATATAATTTGGGTGTCAGTTCACAGTATTTTGTTTTTTTCAATTTTCAAATCAATATATCTTAAAGCTCACCTTTTACCAGTAGATATTGTTTTTAAATCTTAAAATTAACTACCTTGATGATTTGAAGAAAAAAAAAAAAATACAAAATCAATCTAATGTAAATAGGTTTTGCAAGTGGACACTACTTTTGAAAAATACTATAAAAAAAATACAATGACTTTCTTTTTCTTCACATTATTTGTATCCCTGTTTATTGAACATCAACAGATTCTGCACATCCTACTGAAAACAGATAAAGTGTATGAAAAATCCAAAGCTCGTTTAAGGTTGGCAGACATTGGTCACTGGGGCCTGGTCAACCTTATGATGGCATATGATATCTCAGCCCCCATGATCAAACGTTTCATAGAACAAGTATCATTTACAGGTAATACACCTGTCATGTGTGAATTTTAAACTGCTACTCGGTATACCTGTAGTGTGTACATTGTATATTCTTTCACTTAGTACAGGTATTACATCTGTAGTGTGTACATTTATGTTGTCATTTTCTACACCTGTGTGTATTTATATTCTATTATATTATAAACTCAGTAGCAAGTGAAAGGGGGGGGGGGGGGGTGTGTAATTTTGTGGTAGTAGTTAATGAATCAGTGTTTGATTAGGTTTTATTTAGATCAACTGACACTGGGAAAACAATGGGTGGTTATGTTAAAATATGAATGGTATATATCAGGGGTCTCCAAACTACGGCCCGCGGGCCGGATGCGGCCCGCGAAGTCCTCTCATCCGGCCCGCGGAGATCTTTTTGTCTAAAGAAAAATCGTTTGTTGTTGATAGTTGAGGAACTTTGCCCAGAGAAATCAAAGCCATGCCTGGAAGAAACTGGCCCCCAAACTGAAATTTGATAGTTAATGTGGCCCTCGGTCTGAAAAGTTTGGAGACCCCTGGTATATATATTACTAGAATAAAAAATTACGCTAAAGGTCATCCCAACACAAGTCTAGTTCTAGATTAGTTATCATCACGATTAACCATTTGATGTCATCACCACTGATAGTGGCTGAAGGTCAACCAGTAGTTACCAACCAGTTGACCTGCTATATTCCCCAACTGGACCAGTGGTAACAGTTTGTTCCTTTGTTATTCCAGAAACCCCCCAGACCTACAGTGCTGTGCTGGCTATCTTAGGCCTGGTACACAGCTGTGGTCTAGATATTAAATCAGAGGCCAGCAGACAGGTAAGTTAAGAAAGTTTTGATAAGTTACCCCTGAAATAAACTTAAAGACTCTAGTGGCAAATATTCATATTTCTCATTACTGCTTCCTTTTTTACTGTTCTGTTAGTATATTCTCAGAAAAAAACATAGCTAATTTTTAGCGCAATTTCCATTCTGGAGAATTGCGTTTATTAACCCGTCATTTCTGGATGTATGAATGTGTGTCCACAGCTTTAAGTCGTATCTCCTCCTCAACGAAGCAATATCGAGGACTAGTTCTAAAAGCAATTATGTTAAGCAAGTTACCAGGATGATAGTGGGCCAAAAAAATTCCGGGTTTCTTTCATGGATTTCCCGGAAAAGCCAAAAAACCTCAAAAAAATGCAGTTTTTTACCCTTATCTCGGCAACCAGACCACTTAGCGACTTGAAAATTTACCAATCGATTCCTGCCATAATTTAGAACAATATTGCCGAAGAAAGTTTTCAAAAATATCCTTTCGTTCGGTCACAAAAAAATTTTTGAATTAATTAAAATTTGGACCGAATTAGTAGGCATGTTTATCCAACCACACCACACGCGTCATCACGTTCAATAGCTGCGCCATCACGTTCAATGGCTGCGTCATCACGTTCAGTAGCTAGGCGCGCAATGGTTTTTAGTCATGTAACTCTATTGTAAATAAAACATGTATTTTAACCAATGGTTTTACTAACCATGCTCTTGATTTACACTACGACAGAGCTATTTTTAGATAACATAAGGAAATTGCGCTAAAATTGTCACTAGACTTTTTAATTACCTTGTTTTAATTTGTTCTGTTAAACCTGCTTCCACTTTCACTGTTCTGTTAGTATATTCTCAGAAAAAAACATAGCTAATTTTTAGCGCAATTTCCATTCTGGAGAATTGCGTTTATTAACCCGTCATTTCTGGATGTATGAATGTGTGTCCACAGCTTTAAGTCGTATCTCCTCCTCAACGAAGCAATATCGAGGACTAGTTCTAAAAGCAATTATGTTAAGCAAGTTACCAGGATGATAGTGGGCCAAAAAAATTCCGGGTTTCTTTCATGGATTTCCCGGAAAAGCCAAAAAACCTCAAAAAAATGCAGTTTTTTACCCTTATCTCGGCAACCAGACCACTTAGCGACTTGAAAATTTACCAATCGATTCCTGCCATAATTTAGAACAATATTGCCGAAGAAAGTTTTCAAAAATATCCTTTCGTTCGGTCACAAAAAAATTTTTGAATTAATTAAAATTTGGACCGAATTAGTAGGCATGTTTATCCAACCACACCACACGCGTCATCACGTTCAATAGCTGCGCCATCACGTTCAATGGCTGCGTCATCACGTTCAGTAGCTAGGCGCGCAATGGTTTTTAGTCATGTAACTCTATTGTAAATAAAACATGTATTTTAACCAATGGTTTTACTAACCCTGCTCTTGATTTACACTACGACAGAGCTATTTTTAGATAACATAAGGAAATTGCGCTAAAATTGTCACTAGACTTTTTAATTACCTTGTTTTAATTTGTTCTGTTAAACCTGCTTCCACTTTCACTGTTCTGTTAGTATATTCTCATAAAAAAAACATAGCTAATTTTTAAAAATTTGTTCTGTTAAACCGTAGCATTTTTTTATTTACCATCAGTACTTGGACATTTAAAATTTACTCTGTTAGACTTCAAGTTTTTAATTAACCTGCATCTGTTAAACATATATTTTGGTTTTGTTCCATTAACCTTGTTTTTCAATCACCCTTCACAGCTTTTGGCCATTATTGTCTCCAAGTCTGGCTCCACAAAAGGATTTGCCAAACAACTTGGTTGGCAGGAGAACATCACAAGACTTCTAGCACTAGAAAGGAGACGCGCCTTCAGCTTGGTTGGCGCCGCTACCACTCTCCCCAACAGCACCATCAAGGGCAGCGCCAGCAACATCAGCGAAGACTCTGGTACACAGAACATGCCAGGTTTTCGCCCGCATCTCTCCCACTCGTCATCCATCTCTTCCTCGTCAGCATACGACACGACGTCAGTGACAGCCACCATCAGGTCGTGCGAGTCTGCTGACCCCACCGCCCCAGATGCCATCTCAGAAGTTTCTTCAACAGAACTTAACATTCCGAACACATCTCTTCCAGTTCTTCCAGAGTCTTTCAGCCCTGATCAGAATAACAGTGCTTCACCAGATACAATAGGTAGCTGTTTTAGTCTTTTTGTATAGTTTCTGTTTGCATAAATATTGTCACACTTATATAGTGCTTAACTAGATACAATAGGTAGCTATTTTAGTCTTACTGTGTAGTTTCTGTTTGTATAAATATTGTCACACTTATATAGTGCTTAACTAGATACAATAGGTAGCTGTTTTAGTCTTACTGTGTAGTTTCTGTTTGTATAAATATTTTCACACTTATATAGTGCTTAACTAGATACAATAGGTAGCTGTTTTAGTCTTACTGTGTAGTTTCTGTTTGTATAAATATTGTCACACTTATATAGTGCTTAACTAGATACAATAGGTAGCTGTTTTAATCTTACTGTGTAGTTTCTGTTTGTGTAAATATTGTCACACTTTTATTATTATAGTGCTTCACATGATACAATAGGTAGCTGTCTTAATATTACTGTATAGATTTTATTTGTGTAAATCTTGTAACAATTTTATAGTGCTAAACTAGATACAATAAGTAGCTGTCTTAATCTTCTTGTATAGATTTTGTTTGTATAAATATTGTCACACTTTTATAGTGCTTCACCAGACACAATTAGTAGTTGTTTTGATTTTACTGTATAGATTTTGTGTAAATATTGAAACACTTGTATAGCGCATCATCAGATACAATAGATAGCTGTCTTAAATATTTTGTAGAGTTTTGCTTGTATAATATGTTAACTCAGAGTGTATTACCACTGGTATTATATACTTGGTAGATGTCTTAAATATTTTGTAGAGATGTGGGTGTATAAATGTTTTATTTTAACTTTTCTTGTGCAGCTCTAGAAAGTATTGATAATTTAACATTCTTGTTTAGGCTTTCAATATATAAATATTAAAACCCTTTTCTAGCGCATCATCAGACACAATAGGTAGCTGTTTTGGGTATATAAATATTTTAACTACTGCATTACAGCTGGCTGTAGAAGTAGTTTCCTGTATTTTTAAAATAAATCTCTAAAATATTCTTAAATTTAAAAATATTGTTTTAGAGTCACCAACAAGGCCAACTGTCCTCCCCTTCCACCCATCATCCACCATCAAACCCATCCGCAAGCCCAGCGAGACGGATGATGTTATAGCCAGCATGCTAGAGGAGCCCACGCCCAACACACCCTTGTATATAAAGAGAAACTTTTACGACATGGAGACCCCTGATGTAGATGAGGGAGAAGGTTTGTTTGGAACAATTTTTGTACTTGTCTGAGGAACTACTTACACTGTGTAAAACAATAGGTAGTGATAAAAAAAACACGTTTTTCAGTAATTTCTAATCTAAATTGGGATGACAAAAATCCTAATCACCGTTCATCACACAAATGAAAATGCTGAAGATTTATCCAACAGCTTGCTTTATCTCTATACTGAGTAAAAAAAATTTTTAGATTATAATTACATTTTGGTAGTAATTTTATAATTTATATTGTTCCTGCAATATGATGTTTTTTTAACTTACCGTCATTTCGTGTCTATATTATGAAAATATGCTGGGTTTTTTTTAAAATTCAGTAAGTAATTGAAGCAACTATTTCCATAATAATTGTGTAATTAGCTTTCTAAAATTACTTTTGACTATTAAAATAGACAGTCCTCATGCTTGCAGATATCCAGCAAGGTAGCAGAAGTTCAAGTGCTAGTGTGGAAGATCTCCTCCGAGACACATCGTCCTGTGGTGGGGACGTCTCAGCTAATGTCAGCAACATCTCTGTGTCATCATCGCCTTTTGAAGGTGACGACAGCGCTCTCGGCAACTCCCAGTCCTCTATTGCGTCTCTGGGAAATTCCACTGGCTTGAATGACAGTTTAAGGAATTCCCAAAACCTTAACGACAGCTTAAGGAATTCCCAAAGTTTGAATGCTAGCTTGAAGAATTCCCAGCAAACTGATGAGTGGAGGAGGTTCTCTGCTGACAATATTCTAGAAGGACTGGATGATTCTAGACGAGCTTCAACAGTCCTGCAGGGAGAAACTTTCAGAAAGGTAACACTTTGATGTGCATCACTGAAAAATTGTAGATGCTGCTGACTTTTATTTGAGTCGTCCTGTTGATGTATCCTGTTGTTATCATGTGGTATTGGGATGGCATGGCCTAGCAGTAGAGTGCTAGACTGCTAACCCGAAACTCTTGACTTTAAATCCGGGTTCAAACCAGTGGAACATCCTTGAGTCGACCCAGCTCTGATGAGTACCTATCTCATGTAAGGTAAAGCAAAGGTGGTTGGGCATAGTGCTGACCACATTATCATACTTCACATGCAGAGGTCTCTGAAACAGATGAACCCTACATCATCTGCACGATGTGTCTTGGGCACGAACAGAAAAAGATGATGATGATGTCATGTGGTAAAACAGCCTTCCCATCTGTATTCATAGATACTGCATCATACTGTTGTATGGCTTAGGACACCATTTTAATGATAGATCAGTATGGTTATTCAAAATTTAAAAACCTGAGTAAAAATTAACATCGGGTTAAATTAATAGGATATAAAAGTGTCCTGGGTACTGGAGTAGAAACTGGGAAACTAAAGGCATAATGCTTACCGCACTATTCCTTGAGTTGTCATAGAAACTGATGCTTTTTACCTCAGCTGCCCAATAAACTATCTGGTCTTAAAGACATCCTTCAATACATACAGTACTATAGGGACCTGAAGTAATTTGGGGAAATTAATTTTGGCTGGACAATGTACTGGCAGCCACAATTCCTTCATAGAACACAGGATACTGTACTTTACATGTGTTGATTTAAAGAGAATTTTAACTTCATTAAATAAAGTATCTCTCATGTGTTTCTGTGGGATAGTGTGGTTGGGGCTGAGATCATTAAGGAAAGTTAAACTGACCACACAATCCCTTCATATGCCAAAGTCTCTTAATTCTAGTAAGCTCTACACTTCCCTTATCAAGTGTCCGGTTCATACGGCTATCTTTACTTTACCTGTCATTTGTGTTCATTTGTGTTCACTTTTCACCTGTGTCCCCAGGTACTGGATCACATAGGTGTCCAGCTGACTGATGCCCTGGAACAAAGGGAAGAACTCTGCCAGAACATCCTCATCATTCTCTGGTCCATCATGTGGAAGGGGATAGATGGCTCCAGTATTGAAGTATGGAAGGTTGGTCATGTTTTTCAATGCTTTGATCTACATCATGAGTTAATTAATAATCAGTATTTGTTTTTTTTAATGTGTGTATGGAGAGGCTAGTCTTGCTAGTGCATGAGAACTCACTAATTGAGTTTTAAAAAACTGTCTAAAGAAAAAACAAGAAATTCACTTTCTTGGGTATTTCTTTGTTACATATATGATAAAAAAACTAATACCTGTCCCAGGTTACAGGTTCATTTATTATAATTGGTCAAAAAACTTGCACCAGACAGATCAGTAATGCATTTAAACACTCCTGTATCTGGTGCTTTAACTTAAACTTAAATATACCTCACAAAAATTTATCGTAACATAATCACAGCAATAACAACAAATATTACATAACCATAATTTTACCATATCATCAGCCAAACTATAAAAACAACAGCTATTAATTCAATTGTAGCAAACTTCTAACTTTACAATCTCTTTAAGTTTAGCATAGTCTTTGACCACATAGAGCTTAACATTTATCATAGCTTTAACTCATGCCAACTCTGCTGTACTCACAGGAAAGGCTTCAGGTATTCACCTGGATAGACGAGCTAGGTGACTCCCACGAGCTGATCCGCCCACCTGTGGAAATCAAGCGGCGCCTGCTGGAGATGCTGCTCCACAACTGTACGTCTGACATACGGTCTGCAGGGTCACAGCCACCAATCAACTTGTCTGAAAATGCCGTCCAGCTCATCCGATTGGTTCAGGGATTTGTTACTAAAGAGGATCTCTCTGCTGATGTCTTTTCAAATAGGGTAAAAAATATAGCCTAATTTTTTATTTATTTATTTTTGTGTGTAAGAAATTGAGTTTTAATTCATAGAGTTATGTCTATGTGATTTGTTTAGTTTAATTTAGTTTTAACTAATTTGTTTTGTTTTAATTATATTTTAATGTGAAAAATTTGTTTTTACTTTATATCAAAAGCCTTTACTGGAATCTATTTCATGTACATATTCATAACTTATTATTTATGCAATAAAATACTTTTTTTTTGCAATATACATTTATATGTATGAAAAAGTATTGTTAAAACTAGTTTACTAAACTAATTGTTTTGCATTTGTAATTGTTTCAGTATTATAAAATATTTCAATATTGTAAAATGTATGCAACATAACAGAAATTCTATTTACAGCAGTTAGTAAGCAGAAGCGTGTTTTATTTATTTTTTTATGTACCTGTTTTAGTCTAGTCAGCTTTAATTTATTTTTGTACCTGTCCACAGCTCCTAGAAGATGTGATGTCACTCCTTGATGCCCTGGGGGTGTGGGGGACTGAAGCCCAGGTGGCGTGGACTGAGATGGTACACAGGGGCTTCTGTATTCTGCTGGCTTTTTCTAAACAGCCTGATCTAGGGGTAAGGACATTTTTTAATATTCAAATAAAACCTATTTTCTGTGACATTTTTCATTACAACAGTTAGTATTGTGTTGGTAAAAGTAATGTCTTTTGTATCTTCCACCACTGGTGATAAAACCAAATGTTGCATAGTTCAAATACATTGTAGCTGTAGTTATTTATTAATAATTCATACTAGCTGATTTTGTAATCAATATCACCAAAATAATACAGTTGTTATAGGGTTAAATATTTAGGTGGACATTTTCTCTGGGAAAATTTTTTTTTTCTGAATTTATTTGTCTACCCTATCTTCTCTGAGTACAATTAGTTGATATTAATCAAACAATGAATTTGTAAAGTACTCAATATAGACCATACAGTGCACCTTTTGTGTTCCTATTACAATAGAACATACTAATTCTACAACATATTCTATAAGAGTACTGTGAGATTAAGAAGAATAAACGTAATATTTTATTTTAAAGAGGAGCTCAAGTTAGATCAGATGCCTGAAGAAGCTGACATAAGAAACACATTGTGTGTTGTGTCAACATTTGTGATATCAGCTACAACAAAGTACCCTGTGTTACCGTGCATGTGTTCTATCATTAATCTGTGTTCTGTTGCAGCTTGTATCATCAGCCACTGTGAAGCTTCACTCTCTGGTCCAGACCAAACTCATCAGCAGCTCAGCTGAGGCTTCTTACATCTTGGGGGTGCTCAACTCTATGGTCATGAAGGCTATAGAAGGTAATGTGGTCAGTTTGTGGTCATGTTAGTGGTCATGTTAGAATCCTCTTACATCCTGGGGGTGCTCAACTCTATGGTCATGAAGGCTATAGAAGGTAATGTGGTCAGTTTGTGGTCATGTTAGTGGTCATGTTAGAATCCTCTTACATCCTGGGGGTGCTCAACTCTATGGTCATGAAGGCTATAGAAGGTAATGTGGTCAATGTGTGGTCATATTAGAATCTTACTCAAATATCTATGTACGTGAAGGCTATGGAAGATAATGTGGTCATGTTAGTTTCAAATCTAAAATCGTGCAAGGATAATGGGGTTCATCTGTGGTCATTATGTGGTCAGCAGTTTACTCTCATCTCAAGTGTCATGAAGATATTTCATTAATATATCCACTTACAAATTTTCATACATTTTTCAAAATGAAAATGTTTGAATGTATCAACATACATATATAATATTCTTCATTGTGATTTACATTACCTTTTAACCCTTCAACTTTGACCCTCATAATTCCCTGATTTATAAAGTTCTATTATGTGTTTCCAGAAAACTCAGACAACTACTCCTACTTGATGCCTGTCCTAAGGGCTCTCATTGAGAAGGGGAAAGAACTCCTGACCATCAGTATTAATCTCCCCCACCTGCCAAAGTCCTCAATGAGCCAAACTTTCTTTGATGATTTCAAGACTTATGTCTACAGTGAAGAGTGGCAGACTTTCATCAACAACTATGTGAGTTCATACACTGGATTAGAAATATTAAAAAAATAATTAGCTTTTATTGATTAGCCATACATTTCTATATTTGGTAGAATATATCAGCTTTTAAGTTTTTCAATTTTAATATAGGGTTAAAGTTTGACTTTTACTATACTATCGTTCACCTTCCCATTATTAAGTAAAAAAAAAAAAATTTTTTTTTTTGTAAAAAAATGTTAAACTTTTTTTTACTTAATAATAGGAAGGTGAAATTGGGTTCACCTGTCACATTGATCTCATTGTGTGATGGATAGTTTGGTCTTCCCATATTACATCACTGGTTTGTTTACATAGATCTGAGGTCTGGTCCCAGACCTATTAGTGAGTGTGATCCACCTATGATCCACCCATGTAATTTCACCATTCACTTTGCCCAGGTCCGGCCCCAGATGACCCACTTCATTGAGAGCAACTTTGAAGAGGGGGTCGTGTTCATGGCAGATTTCTGGTCAGAGTGTCGCGAGGACATGATGATGAACCACCACAAGCACAACAGGGAGATAGGGGAGAGCAGGCTTAAGTTTAAGGTAAGACAACCTTTGTTGCTGCACTTGTCAGCATAGCAAAATTAACTCCCTTGAACCACCACAAACACAACAGTGAGATAGGGGAGAGCAGGCTTAAGTTTAAGGTAGGACAACCTTTGTTGCTGCATTTGTCAGCATAGCAAAATTAACTCCCTTGAACGACCACAAGCACAACAGGGGAGAGCAGGCTTAAGTTTAAGGTAGGACAACCTTTGTTGCTGCATTTGTCAGCATAGCAAAATTAACTCCCTTGAACCAATACAAGCACAATAGGGGAGAGCAGGCTTAAGTTTAAGGTAGGACAACCTTTGTTGCTGCATTTGTCAGCATAGCAAAATTAACTCCCTTGAACCAATACAAGCACAATAGGGGAGAGCAGGCTTAAGTTTAAGGTAGGACAACCTTTGTTGCTGCTTTTGTCAGCATAGCAAAATTAACTCCCTTGAACCAATACAAGCACAATAGGGGAGAGCAGGCTTAAGTTTAAGGTAGGACAACCTTTGTTGCTGCATTTGTCAGCATAGCAAAATTAACTCCCTTGAACCAATACAAGCACAATAGGGGAGAGCAGGCTTAAGTTTAAGGTAGGACAACCTTTGTTGCTGCTTTTGTCAGCATAGCAAAATTAACTCCCTTGAACGACCACAAGCACAACAGGGGAGAGCAGGCTTAAATTTAAGGTAGGACAACCTTTGTTGCTGCTTTTGTCAGCATAGCAAAATTAACTCCCTTTGAACCACCACAAGCACAACAGAGATAATAGAAAGCAGGCTTAAGTTTAAGGTAAGACAACCTTTGTTGTTGCATTTGTCAGCATAGCAAAATTAACTCCCTTGAACCACCACAAGCACAACAGGGGAGAGCAGGCTTAAATTTAAGGTAGGACAACCTGTGTTGCTGCATTTGTCCGCATAGCAAAAATTAACTCCCTTGAACCACAACAAGCACAACAGGGGAAAGCAGGCTTAAGTTTAAGGTAGATCAACATTGGTTTCTGCATTTCTCAGCATAGCAAAATTAACTCCCTTGAACCACCACAAGCACAACAAGGGAGAGCAGGCTTAAATTTAAGGTAGGACAACCTGTGTTGCTGCATTTGTCCGCATAGCAAAAATTAACTCCCTTGAACCACAACAAGCACAACAGGGGAAAGCAGGCTTAAGTTTAAGGTAGATCAACATTGGTTTCTGCATTTCTCAGCATAGCAAAATTAACTCCCTTGAACCACCACAAACACAACAGAGAGATAATATAAAGCAGGCTTAAATTTAAGAGAGGACAGACTTGGTACATAACTTGTTGCTGTACTTGTCAGCATAGCACTGTGATAATATTTATCTCATTTAACACTTAATAACTTAACTCCCTTAAACCTCCACAAACACAAAAGGGAGATAATAGAAAACAGGTTAAAGTTTAAGGTTGGGCAGGCTTAATTCATGTATTGTTGCTGCACTTGTCAGCATAATACACTAGTCTTCCTTGTGATAAGTTATCTGCCCTTTGACACCATAATAAAAAAGCCAAGCATATAACTTACCTCCCTTGATACAATAAACCCGGAACTATTATTATTATTATCACCTGACAAAAGAATACATGATAAATTATCCTCCCAATATACAGTATAAATAGAGCCATCCCTCTGATCATTTACCATCTGATACAGAAGACCAAGGACAGTAATAAATTATCTCTCCCAGCCATAGACTATTTCTGTAACCACCTTCATGATAACTTACCTCCCCTTTACACAGTAGTCCGAGAATTAATTTCAACTTACTTCCCCTTGACACAATAGCTTATTGTATCAACTTACCCCCCAGAACCAGATCGAGGAAGTTTACCGTAAGAAAGCTGACCATGAGAACAGAAGGTTCCAGAACATGATGGCCCAGCAAAAGAACCATCATCTGTTTGCCCTAAGACAGTGGCGTGCAACCAAGAGGTTCTTCACTGGAGAGAGGGGAGCCTGGAAAGACAAGTATGTGTCATTTTACTAGGCTCAGTTTTCTAGTGGGATCATGTGGAGTAAAATTGTTTTATTGGCCTGTTTTAATATTTGGTGGTTGGGAGTTATTGTGTGGGGTAAAATAACATACTTTCCAAGCTTAGACAGAATTAATTGACAACCACAGAACAGGTAATTCATACAATATTTCTTTGAAAAATTCAGTTGAGATGAAAATGAATTGATAGTCATAGATATTAATTTAAGATAACAGTTTATATATAGTATATGGTAGTTAGATGATACCAAAACTGAAATGATATCCTTGTAAAGCCTTGCAATATTTGAGGTATAGCTAGCATTTGACTAGATAAAATTATTCAATTTGTAAAGATTGTATGCCACACCTGTATGCTTGTGTTGGACAACAAGGTGTGATCAAAGTTCTTTGATGCATCTCATGGCTCTCTCTTAGCCCTGTGATAGAACCCAATATTTGAAGTATAGATAGCATTAGTCTAGAACTCCTGAGTGTGTGAAGATTGTATGCCACACCTGTATGCTTGTGTTGGACAATAAGATGTGATCAAATTTTTTTATTCATTTCGTTGCTCTTTCAGTCTCTGATAGAGCCCAATTTTTGACGAGTTCACACATGTTTATGGAAAATAAATAAAATACTATTTAGCTAATGTTTTAAATTGAAGATGTCAATTGTAAATAAATGAGGAATTACATCTTAAATGGATGTAATTCTAAAACAATAAAATGAATCTATGAACATATGTAGTTATAAATGGTAGAGCTGACACCACTTTGTATCTAAAATGTCACAGAAACAGATATGTGTTAGCACTCTGTGCTCAATGTTTGTTCTTGTCTTGTTGTCCAGGAACCAGCAGGAAGTCCACTGGAAACTGTCCAACCAGGAAAACTTCCAGCGCATGAAAGTCAAGCTGACCCAGAACTACAACTTTGACAGCCATCTTAACGCCAGCCTTCTCAGGGATAATGTTGGTGGGTTCATCTTCAGCAGACTTACATATTTTTTTCTAGTTAGTTATGGATACAGCTCTAATGCATTAGAAAACACAGATTAAAAAATTATGAGGGAATTAATGCATTGCAGCTGATTGAGTATTATCATCTGTGTTAGTGCCATGTCTATCAAGACTGAAGTACAGATAATACTATTGTAACAACAGGATCTAAAGCCTCATCTTATCATCTATAATTTCTATTATTATTATTTCTGTTCTATTATTAGCAGTGAAAAAAAAAGTTTCTCTTGTTTAGAAAAGTTATTAGAAAAAAAAACTCAAAATGTTGATACAGGCTTATTTATTCAGCTGAAAACAACTATTACGCAGCTATAGTCATTGTTAACACTTTGTTTAATGGTAGTTTTTGTGTAAAGTTTCTCTGAAATAGCAAAAGTATGATTGTAGGTTGGATAGATACAATCACCTCCACACAGGAGGGGCTATAATTTCTATAATCAGCTTTGTTAAATGCTAATTCTTGTATAGAAAAGTTTATGTCAAACTCCCCATTATGTGTTTGTAGGTGTGCTAGGTAGTCACCTCCATATAGCCTGAAGCTCAAACTTCACAACTACAATACCTGTAATCAGCTTTCTATAGAAAAACTTATGTGACATACCAAATAAGTGATTGTAGGTGTGATAGACACAGACACCTCCATTAAGCATGATCTCCACATTCACAATTTCTGAAACCAGCTTTATATAGAAAAAAAATGTGTTTTTAGTTTTGTATAGAAAAGCTTATGTGAAATACCATATAATACCAAATATGTGATTGTAGGTGTGATAGACACATATACCTCCATATATAGCATGAAAATCCACAACTACAATACCTGTGATCAGCTTTGAGTAGAAAAACCTATGTAACATAACCAAATATGATATTGTAGGTGTGATAGACACAGACACCTCTATCCAACTGGAGGAGCTGAAGAAAGTAAAAGATGCTCTGGTCTCTAAGGAAAACATTGCTGATGACACACTGGGGGATGAGGAGTGGAGTGCCATATCTGCCTCCAGGTTAGCAAGTTTAGTTTGTTTTATAGTCCGGCAGTTTAAAAACATTTATCTGTGTCACGCAATAATTTACTCAGTGCTAATAGCTAGAACTGTAATGTCTTGATTTTGTTGTTAGTTTTATATTTATTTTTGTTTTTTATTTCTAAAGAAAATACAAAATTTTTGTTCCGATTAATAATTTTAGACTTATAAAATAGTGACTGCATGGTCACACTTTGATACAAGAGTACTCATGTGTAGTGAAAATAAAATCAGTAATATCAGTTTCAAAGTTAAACAAATAGAATTGTTTCAAAATTGAACATAAGTATAGTTTCAAAACACAATGTTGATTATAGAACCTCTCTGTTTCTATTGGACATTTTCTACAATGCCCAGGTACCCATTAGAGTTGAATGAAATCATTTATCCTGTATTTATTTTAACTTAACTAGCATGATGAGTATTTAAGCTTGACCAATCAACAGTAATCAGTAATAAAGGCATGTGACCAAAACCTCCCTCCCACACATCCATATAATGTTTTGTGTGTATTTTATCTGTGGCACCACCTGTTGTTAAATTGACTTGACTTTCCTTCCAGTGCCAACATGGAAGAGTTCTTGTATTTTATCTGTGGCGCCACCTGTTGTTAAATGTCTTGACTTTCCATCCAGCGCCAATATAGAAGAGTTCTTGTATTGTATCAGTGGCGCCACCTGTTGTTAAATTGACTTGACTTTCCTTCTAGTGCCAACATGGAAGAGTTCTTGTATTTTATCTGTGGCGCCACCTGTTGTTAAATTGATTTGACTTTCCTTCCAGCGCCAACATGGAAGAGTACTCTGGCACAGAGAAACTAATTATCTCTGCCGACTGCGAGCTGATTACAGTCACTGATGACATCAAGGGGAGGCTAGAAGTGACATCCACTCACGTTTACTTCTTTGATTGTAGCATGCACAAGGAAGAAGGTTAGATGATCAATTAATGCATTCTTGTTTTTATTTAGAGCTTAATTGGTATGTTTGGGGAGAAAAGGAATGAAAAAGTAATTTAAATAAAAGTAATTTAAGAAACTATTTTAAATGTTATGGTCATTGTGGTAGGTGGAGTAGAGTTCATCTGATAATGAGTACATCAACATGGATTATGTAGCCAGTAGCCTTTACTACATTCAACTACACAGTTCCAAAACATTAACAGGAGCCTGATTAAAACATGTATTCATACACAGTGTTATGGTTTGAGTTAGGGGCATGCTTATGAGTATATGTCTTATAACTAAGGTTCAGTGTTATGCAGCTTAGTATGTTTGATAGACAGATGAGTTCCAACATTTGTGTTGATCTATTGTATTCTAGTTCCAACATTTGTGTTGATCAATTGTATTCTGCCTTTAGGTGGTGAAGATTTCAAATGGTCGTTATCTAGATTGAGGGAGATACATTTTCGTAGATACAACCTCAGGCGCAGTGCACTGGAAGTTTTCTTAATTGATCAGACCAATTACTTCATCAACTTTCCTGAAAAGGTGTGAATTTTTGTAATTTAAAAGAATAATAATATATTAGTAATATTAGCTGAAATGGGAAGTTTATTGTAATTTTTTAGCGCAATTTCCATACTGGGGGATTGCGATTATTAACTCGTCATTTCTGGATGGATGTATGGATGGATGTGTGTCCGCAGCTTTAAGTCGTCTTTAAGTCGTATCTCCTCCTCAACGAAGCAATATCGAGGACTAGTTCCAAAGCAAATATGTTAAGCAAGTTCCGAGGATGAACATAGGCCAAAACAATTCCCAGAATTCCTTCCTGGATTTCCCGGAAAAGCCAAAAAACCTCGAAAAATGCAGTTTTTGGCCCATATCTCGGCAACCAGACCACTTAGCGACTTGAAAAATTTACCAATCGATTCCTGCCATAATTTAGAACAATATTGCTGAAGAAAGTTTTCAAAAATATCCTTTCATTCTGCCACAAAAAATTAATTAAGAATTTTTAAACTGAGCATCGTTTAGGCCTAGGATGATTTAGCGCAATGAGCGGAGGTTCGAAAGGATTTTTTTTCGACTGATACGGGAGGCTAGCCTGTCGCGACGTGGGATCGTTCGCGTCACTGCGTGCGGCAAGAGAGAGAGAGATAGGCGAGCTACGCGTCGCTTGTTTTTTTCCACGTGCTAATGTTTACAAACAAGAGGGCGGGTTTTAATCATTTGGGCACCGTTGCTGAATATATGATTTATCTCGATTTAAAATTGTTATGGCTAACATAAGGAAATTGCGCTTAAATTGTCACTAGACTTTTTATTAACTTGTTTTAATTAATCAGACCAATTACTTCATCAACTTTCCTGAAAAGGTGGGAGATTTTGTAATATATTTTATTAGTCATCAGTCTCAAAGTGAAGCTCATTGGAATTTTTTTTATTGATCAGACCAATTACTTTATCAACTTTCCTCTAAAGTTGGGAAATAGTGTAATTTAAAAGAGTACTAAGTGGGAAATAGTTTAATTTAAAAGAGTAGTAAGTTTGAAATAGTGTAATTTAAAAGAGTAGTAAGTGGGAAATAGTGTAATTTAAAAGAGTAGTAAGTGGGAAATAGTGTAATTTAAAAGAGTAGTAAGTGGGAAATAGTGAAATTTAAAAGAGTATTAAGTGGGAAATAGTGAAATTTAAAAGAGTAGTAAGTGGGAAATAGTGTAATTTAAAAGAGTAGTAATATATCAGTCATATCAGCTGAAAAAGGGGAGCACATTGTTATTTTTGTAATTAATCAGACCAATTACTTCATCAACTTACATGAAAAGGTGGGAATTTTTAAAATTAAGCCATTTTAGTTTGTAGTTAGCCACCCCCTTGTCCAGCTGTGTTGTGAATCACCCTGTAACTTTTTCAGCAACTGAGGAATAGGATCTACAGCCACATCCTCAGCTTACGACCTCTGAACTTGACATATAAAGGTCAAAGGTCACCTGGCGACCTCTTGAAAGCTTCAGGTTTAACACAGGTAAAAAAGAAAAATATGTAAATCTAGAGAAAAGTCTTACTCATTTCTTAGTTTAGTATTGTAATTAATAAATTAAATAAGTTTATGTTATTAATGTATGAATATCTTTCACTGTTGACGATTTAAAAAAAAAAATTTTAATCAGAAATGGGTGAACAGAGAGATCTCCAACTTTGAATACCTGATGCAGCTCAACACAATAGCTGGCCGCACATACAATGATTTGAGCCAGTACCATGTTGTAAGTGTACAGGGAAAGATTTAATAATTCAGCCACCTTTTAAATAGATTGCAGACTTTCCCATTGCGCCACATGATCAATCCACCATAGACAGAGATTTTAGGCTCAAAATTACTTAGGTTTAATTTTTTATAATCTTATACATATATATCACTATTATCACACAATCATGAATACAGTTTTATAATTTCAGTATTGCCTTTAACATCATTTTGAACATATTTCGAAATTATATCAGATATACTCTTTAAAATCATGAACTTACTTTTTTTTTTATATTTTAAGTTATGTAAATCATCTATATATCCCTAGTTTCCCTGGATTCTGATGGATTACACATCCAAGCACCTGGATCTTGAAAACCCCAAAACTTTCCGTGACCTGTCCAAACCTATAGGTGTAGTGAGTGCACGCAATGAGGAGGAGGTGCGAGAAAAGTAAGCCTCACCCTACACTGCCACTAACCCTTGCGATAGATCTATATTATACAGATTTCTAACCCTGAAAAATTTCTCTTTAATGACCCATGGTTTTGTTTTACTATGGTTGTGTTTGAAAGATTTAAATTACCTATATTTTTGTTTTGTCATATTCAAGCTATTTATAATGACCCATGTTTTTGTTTTCTATGGTCAAGTTTCTGACATTTTATAGTGACCCTTATTTTTGTTTTGTCATATTCAAGACATTTATAATGACCCATGTTTTTGTTTTCTATGGTCAAGTTTCTGACATTTTATAGTGACCCTTATTTTTGCTTTGTCATATTCAAGACATTTATAATGACCCATGTTTTTGTTTTCTATGGTCAAGTTTCTGACATTTTATAGTGGTTCTAAGCATTTGAATAACCTATGTTTTTGAATTGCTGCGGTCTCATTCAAGTTATTCTTAGTGACTCATGATTTTGTTTTTCTCACATTCTAGACATTTATATAGTGACCCATGTTTTGTTTTTGTTGTGGTCAGGTTTGAGACATTTGAAGACCCCTCCGGCACCATAGAGAAGTTCCATTACGGGACGCACTACAGCAACGCTGCCAGTGTCATGCACTACATGGTCAGGGTGGAGCCTTTCACAACATTACACATAGAGCTACAGAGTGGCAAGTAAGTTAGAATTATCTAGTAGCAAGTTAGTTTAAACTTTATTGTGGCAAGTAAATTACAAGTAGCTAGTGGCAAGTAAGTCACTACTGTATAGTGGCTTGTAAGTTAAACCTATATAGCGGCACATAAGTTAAACCAATATAGCTGCACATAAGTTACAACTATACAATTATATTTATACAACTATAAGTCACAACATTTGTCTGGCAAGTAACCTACAACATTAGATTGGTAAGTAACTTCCTACACTGTTGCAAGTGCTCATAAGCTACAACATTATAGAATTCCAGTTTGTCAAGAACAGTTGTACCCATATCTGTATAGACTCACCAGATGCCCCATGCTAAACTAACACATTGTATTATTACACTTTGTTCTAGATTGGCCAGAACTTTTCCCCTTTACCCACCTTTGCTTAGGCTTATGATCTTCCCCTTTATAAACCAACAGGAACAGGGCATTACCCCCCTGTCAATTGCCCTCCTCCCCCCCCGGACGTTTCTCCTTCCCCCCCCCCCCAGTTCAGCTAGGGTTAGGGCAAGGGTTAGGGCTAGGATTAGGGCTTGGGTTAGGGTTAGGGCTTGGGTTAGTGTTAGGATCAGGGTTAGGCTTAAATCAATGTCTAGATTTGGGTTTGGTTTCAGGGTGAGGTGAATTCTTACGTTTTTCGTCTTTGTCTTAAGGTTAGGATTAAGGTTACATATAGGTATAGAGTTGGAGTTAAAATCAGGATTCCATCTTGGTGGATGGGGGGGGGGGGGGTAATTCCCCAGGGCGTAATTACTCTGGGGGTAAATACAGGGGGTAAAGTCCATGGGGGGGGGAAATGTCAGGGGGGTGATGTCCTGTAGCCAAACCAACACACAGTACTAACATCCAGCTTATTCACTCCCATCAGATTTGATGTGGCAGACAGACAGTTCCACTCCATCCCTGGCAGCTTCTCTTCATTGATGGACAACCCTAATGATGTCAAGGAACTCATCCCTGAGTTTTTCTACTTCCCTGAATTTTTGGTCAATTTTAATGGTAAGTTGAACACATTTTTGGTCAATTTTAATGGTAAGCTGCACACATTCTTTGGTCAATTTTAATGGTAAGATGAACACATTATTTGATTAATTTTAATGGTAAGCTGAACACATTCTTTGGTCAATTTTAATGGTAAGCTGAACACATTTTTTGGTCAATTTTAATGGTAAGCTGAACACATTTTTTGGTCAATTTTAATGGTAAGCTCAACACATTTTTGGTCAATTTTAATGGTAAGCTGCACACATTCTTTGGTCAATTTTAATGGTAAGCTGAACACATTATTTGATTAATTTTAATGGTAAGCTGAACACATTCTTTGGTCAATTTTAATGGTAAGCTGAACACATTTTTTGGTCAATTTTAATGGTAAGCTGAACACATTTTTGGTCAATTTTAATGGTAAGCTGAACACATTTCTTGTTTGTTTTTAATAGTAAGCTGAACATATTTTTTAGTCAAATTCAATGTTTAGCTTAAAACAGTACTCGGTCCATTTCAATAAACTGAATACAATTCTTGGTTATGTTAAATAACCTAAACACTATTTTAGGTAAATTTACGTTTTAAATTTTTTTTGAAAATTGAATTTACTTATTTGTAGTTTAGGATGGATTAATTTTCTAAAACATCTCAGTCCAAATATATTGCATTACAAATAAAAAGCATGCTATGGGTATTTAAAAGTTTGTATCTTTGGTTCAGGTTTTGACCTGGGGAGACTGATGATATGGGTATTTAAAAGTTTGTATCTTTGGTTCAGGTTTTGACCTGGGGAGGTTGATGCTATGGGTATTTAAAAGTTTGTATCTTTGGTTCAGGTTTTGACCTGGGGAGGTTGATGCTATGGGTATTTAAAAGTTTGTATCTTTGGTTCAGGTTTTGACCTGGGGAGGTTGATGCTATGGGTATTTAAAAGTTTGTATCTTTGGTTCAGGTTTTGACCTGGGGAGGTTGATGCTATGGGTATTTAAAAGTTTGTATCTTTGGTTCAGGTTTTGACCTGGGGAGGTTGATGCTATGGGTATTTAAAAGTTTGTATCTTTGGTTCAGGTTTTGACCTGGGGAGGCTGATGCTATGGGTATTTAAAAGTTTGTATCTTTGGTTCAGGTTTTGACCTGGGGAGGTTGATGCTATGGGTATTTAAAAGTTTGTATCTTTGGTTCAGGTTTTGACCTGGGGAGGCTGATGCTATGGGTATTTAAAAGTTTGTATCTTTGGTTCAGGTTTTGACCTACTGATGCTATGGGTATTTAAAAGTTTGTATCTTTGGTTCAGGTTTTGACCTGGGGAGGTTGATGCTATGGGTATTTAAAAGTTTGTATCTTTGGTTCAGGTTTTGACCTGGGGAGGTTGATGCTATGGGTATTTAAAAGTTTGTATCTTTGGTTCAGGTTTTGACCTGGGGAGGTTGATGCTATGGGTATTTAAAAGTTTGTATCTTTGGTTCAGGTTTTGACCTGGGGAGGCTGCAGATAACAAAGGAACAGGTGAACGATGTCAAGCTTCCACCCTGGGCCAGCACACCTGAGGAGTTTATCTACAAGCACAGGCAGGCACTGGTAGGTTCATTAGGGATCAGGTAACTTTTGGCATTATAGGTTCATTGGGGTCAGGGACCTTTTAGCATTATAGGTTCATTGGGGTCATGGACCTTTTGGCATTATAGGTTCATTGGGGTCATGGACCTTTTGGCATTATAGGTTCATTGGGGTCATGGACCTTTTGGCATTATAGGTTCATTGGGGTCAGGGACCTTTTGGCATTATAGGTTCATTGGGGTCATGGACCTTTTGGCATTATAGGTTCACTGGGGTCATGGACCTTTTGGCATTATAGGTTCATTGGGGTCATGGACCTTTTGGCATTATAGGTTCATTGGGGTCATGGACCTTTTGGCATTATAGGTTCATTGGGGTCATGGACCTTTTGGCATTATAGGTTCATTGGGGTCAGGGACCTTTTGGCATTATAGGTTCATTGGGGTCATGGACCTTTTGGCATTATAGGTTCACTGGGGTCATGGACCTTTTGGCATTATAGGTTCATTGGGGTCATGGACCTTTTGGCATTATAGGTTCTTTGGGTCAGGGACCTTTTGGCATTATAGGTTCACTGGGGTCAGGGACCTTTTGGCATTATAGGTTCATTGGGGTCAGGGACCTTTTGGCATTATAGGTTCACTGGGGTCAGGGACCTTTTGGCATTATAGGTTCACTGGGGTCAGGGACCTTTTGGCATTATAGGTTCATTGGGGTCAGGGACCTTTTGGCATTATAGGTTCATTGGGGTCAGGGACCTTTTGGCATTATAGGTTCACTGGGGTCAGGGACCTTGGCATTATAGGTTCACTGGGGTCAGGGACCTTTTGGCATTATAGGTTCATTGGGGTCAGGGACCTTTTGGCATTATAGGTTCACTGGGGTCAGGGACCTTTTGGCATTATAGGTTCACTGGGGTCAGGGACCTTTTGGCATTATAGGTTCATTGGGGTCAGGGACCTTTTGGCATTATAGGATCACTGGGGTCAGGGACGTTTTGGCATTATAGGTTCATTGGGGTCAGGGACCTTTTGGCATTATAGGATCACTGGGGTCAGGGACCTTTTGGCATTATAGGTTCATTGGGGTCAGGGACCTTTTGGCATTATAGGTTCACTGGGGTCAGGGATCTTTTGGCATTATAGGTTCACTGGGGTCAGGGACCTTTTGGCATTATAGGTTCATTGGGGTCAGGGACCTTTTGGCATTATAGGATCACTGGGGTCAGGGACGTTTTGGCATTATAGGTTCATTGGGGTCAGGGACCTTTTGGCATTATAGGATCACTGGGGTCAGGGACGTTTTGGCATTATAGGTTCATTGGGGTCAGGGACCTTTTGGCATTATAGGTTCACTGGGGTCAGGGACGTTTTGGCATTATAGGATCACTGGGGTCAGGGACCTTTTGGCACTGGTAGGTTCATTGTTGTCAGGGACCTTTTGGCGTTATAGGTTCATTGGGGTCAGGGACCTTTTGGCATTATAGGTTCACTGGGGTCAGGGACCTTTTGGCGTTATAGGTTCATTGGGGTCAGGGACGTTTTAGCACTGGTAAGTTCTTTGGGGTCAGGGATTTTTTAATTTGGTGATGAGATTTGTGTTGACCATTGTAAATGTTCCCCATTAAAGTGAATATGTCTCCTCCAATTTTGACCATTGAAAATATTCCCTAGAAAGTGAATATGTCTCCTCCAATGTAGACCATTGTTAATGTTCCTTTTTTTTTTTTTAAATGTTTTTACTTTCTCGTATATACGTAGTATAGAGAAAGTATTGTAATCGTGCAAAAAAAAAAAATCGAGATTTTTACAAATCTCGACGTTTTACACCTCACTGATACGGAAAAACATAATTTTGCAATCTTGTCCGTATGTCTGTGTGTGTGTGTGTCTGTGTGTCTGTCTGTCCGTGTGTAAACACGATAACTTGAGTACCGTTACAGCTAGGTTGATGAAATTTCATATATAAGTATTTTATCAAAATCGTAGATCCGTATCAACTTTTGAGCGATTTCCGATAACCGGAAGTGGTACTTTTCCTACTTTGAATTTTTTAAAAGCCTATAACTTGAGTACTATTTCAGATAGATGAATGAAATTTCACATGTAAGTAAAAGATCTAATTCTCTACCTTCTGTTAAATTTTGAGTAATTTCCGTTGACTGGAAGTAGTAATTTACGCTACTTCCGATTTCTCAAAAAACTAATGTAAATTTTTAAAGTACTAATAATATTGCGCACTATTATACGCGTTTTTATTCGGCGTTTGCTTGGTGCGCAATGTTTTTTTTATGAGATTCTATTCTATTTTTAAAAGTTTAAGTATTTAAAATGGATTAAAAATCATAACTATATCCCCAGTTACCATCCCCTGTTGTTTTATATAAGAATATTCGAGAAAGTTTAGGGGAGATCACTACCGGTTTATTTTTTATTACTTTTATTTGCAAAAAACAAGTACATCAACATCAAATTCTTTACATAATTTTGAATATCAAATGAAATATATAAATATTTACATGATGTCATGTATGTGATTATAAAAAATTGAAAGGGATAACAGTAAAAGTGGTGAAGGTCAAATGAATGTTTCATGACTCCAGGTGGGGAGTGGAAAAGAAATTGTTCAAAGAGGGCGGGGATGGGGTCAATGGGACAGTGAAGCATTTTCTATGTAGGGAAAAGAATATGTTGACCAGTTGAAAGCGTGTTTATTTATATACTGGTCACATTGAGTTTTCAAAAGGTTGCTGTGTGAAAGATAAAGGGAAAGAAATTGTTAATGTTCCCTGGAAAGTGAAATCTTTTTTCAGCGTTCAAGCATTATAAATATTCTTCAGGAAATGAATATGTCACTTCCAATTTTGACCATTGTAAAGGTTCCCCAGAAAGTGAATATGTCTCCTCAAATGTTGACCATTTAAAATGTTCCCCAGGAAAGTGAATTTGTCTCTGCCAATCTCCACAACTGGATTGATCTGATCTTTGGCTACAAACAGAAAGGTCCTGCAGCTGTGGAAGCTCTCAATGTCTTTTACTATGTCACTTATGAAGGTTTGTCTCCCTTTTCAATTTTATTAGGTTTCCTCCCTTTAAGATTTTATTTCATTGTTATTTTTTTTCTCTTAAATTTTATTTTCTTTTTAAATTTGTTGAAGATATTTGGCTGTTATTTGGTAGTAAGTGGCAAAGAATTTAAGTTTTCTAATTGTTAGGTAAAATGTGAGTTATTTTTGGAGGTATCAGATACTGTCATGTGTCATGTTAAAACCAAATAGAATACATTTGAATACTAAATAACATACATTATAAAGACTTTATTAATTAACTATCTGACAAATTATACCTGTTATAACTGGGGACTACGTGTCCCACAGCTATGCATTATATTCTGTCTAGCCATGATTCGACAGGATGACAATATTTAACTTTACTCTTTATTGCACTATAAAAAATACTTAGGACGATTTGAACGGACAATACTAAGACTGGACTACATTACGACCTCACCCTAACACAACAAGAACAAGACTACCTTAAACTTCTTCCCCGGCAACAACAAACCTACACTTTTTTAATCTTAAGTTTTCAATCATGTAAAAAACAAGTGCAATCAAAAAATATTCTTTTCATGGCAATATGTTTCTAGCGTGTAAAAAATCTTCCAATTATTCCAACCCATGCAGGTGCAGTAGACTTAGATGCCATAGAAGATCCCAAAGAGAGGCTGTCTGTTGAAGGGATGATCAGAAACTTTGGGCAGACGCCATCACAGCTGCTTAAGGTAGCCATCTTGTTTTATTAAACTGCTAAACATGTCCTTTACATTTAATACATTTTTAAGAAATCTAATTCCAGTTCTTGCTTTATCTTATAGAAATTACAAGCATCATATGGCTTTATCTTATTATCATATATTAACTATATTCTTTTTCTGGCAATAAAAATATTCAAATACCCATTCAGAAGTTAGTTATTATACCATCCGTGCTTACAATGAGGATTATGTGCATCATTTCTAGTCACTATAATAAACACTATCTTCACCTATCAACTTTTTTCTCAATTTTTAATAGCCAATTTTTTGTTAGATATTTTTAGTTACATCTTCACCTTGCTGCAATGGTTTTATTCCTTAAAATCTTCTACCTGATCTTAGATATAATTTAAATGAGATTTGTACAAAGTTATTTGCCCTTGCATGAATCTCATCCCAAATAATTCTTTACTTACTACTTTTTCTTACTTGAGTGATAGTTCTTTAAATGTTCCTTTACCTGAAATGAGATTTTGTAATGAAGTGATCAACCATGATCTTAACCACAGCCCAGAAAACTAGACATTATGACTTTATAATTGTGTAGCTTCACTTAGCTTCAGTGGTTATTCCCCTTCATCACTCCTTAAGATACTATCTCAGTTGATATTTTAAGAGATTTGTAATGAAGTGATTTACCCTACCAGAAACCTCACCCCAGGAGATTTACATTTTGACTTTAAGTGGTTGTTCCTCAACATCACCGTATTAGATACTTACTCTATGTTTTATAAAAGATTTGTAATTAAGCTATTTCCCCTCCCAGGAACCTCACCCCAGGAGATTTACATTTTGACTTTCAGTGGTTGTTCCTCAACATCACCGTATTAGATACTTACTCTATGTTTTATAAAAGATTTGTAATTAAGCTATTTCCCCTCCCAGGAACCTCACCCCAGGAGATTTACATTTTGACTTTCAGTGGTTGTTCCTCAACATCACCGTATTAGATACTTACTCTATGTTTTATAAAAGATTTGTAATTAAGCTATTTCCCCTCCCAGGAACCTCACCCCAGGAGATTTACATTTGAAGAGGCCGTGGCCAGGACCACCAAGTCTGGGAAACCCATGGCCGTCTTCAACTTCCTCAAAGACCTCAAGCCTTACTTTGTGGAGGTGAGATTTTTTTTCTTGGATGCTGCTACATTTGTTTTCATGCTTTCTTACATTCATGTGATTAGTTGTATAAAGTAGTTATCTACTGTTAGGGAACAGTTTGTAAATTGTCCTGTTTTAAGATAAAAATATAGAAAAATAAAACAGTTATAAACACTTAAAACAAACACATTTATGTAATGTTAACTTATAGTCTTTATCAAAACAAACATTGAGATAAAGCAGTAAAATTTATGTATTTTCCTATTGTTCACATTCGGATGAAGTTTAGATGACATTTGTGTTTTTTCTTGAGATTTTTAAACTATTTTTTTTAACATATTTTAATTCTCTTAACCTAATAGCCGCTGCTAATATCCTGTTATCATAATTAGATGATATCAGCAAGGAAAAAAAATTGAAACTTTTTGTTGCATTTTTTCTGTTTATTTGACACAGGTTTCCAATGGGATTGACCCTCTAGTGTTTGTGAATGTTCCCAAAAGTCAGTCCAGGTCCATTCTACAACAGGGGATGCCAGACAGCTTGGTATGTTAATGTTGTTGTATTTTTGTGGCATGCATTTCCTTGTTATAACTCCTGTATGAGACCTGCTGATCAGTTTTATCTGGCAAGTTTCATTGGCCAGTCGACAGGTGAATGTTGTGTTTTAAGCACAAGTTCGGGATGCCATTAGTTGGCTATGTTAAAATTGAAAGTCTTAATACTTGCTTACAATAGCTTGATCTCCTTGGTGTTGGGCACCCTATATCCCCATCCTATCTCATGAATGATTTTGTATTACAAGACTAAAACATAACTATAAAATTGTTTTCATAGCTAAAACTATAAATAGGCTTTTTATCTTTTTTGTATACAAGTACTGATTACAGCTATATTATTATATCTTTAAGGATTTTTTATAATCATAACTTGTGCTGTATAAATTATGTCAGACTGTTTAATTAACAGCATTTGTTATTATTAAAAAGTGTTACAAATGTTTTCTAAATTTGGACATGAATGTCAAATCAGGTTACAATTACTGAAGACGGTATTATTGGCGTACATGGGTGGCTGCCCTTTGACAAATCTATTCCAAACTTCTACACCTTTGATAAGGACCCAACAATGCTCAATGTTAAGTAAGTCCAATGTTATTCAAGTGATGGTGTGCTCACATTTTTACTATCTATACTTGACTGTTTATAGGGGCAGGTAAAGAAGGATAAGGTAGGGACATGTTTAGGGTTTTTATCACCCCTTTGTCACCCCTATTGGAGAATTCTGTACCACCATGTTACACCATCGCAGTTGGAAAGATTTAATGAATTATCTTTAGTCCTTGAACATGCCATTCAAACAATCTTTGTTGAAAATATTTTATTTTTACTATTTAAATCATCATCTTTTCCCGTTCATGGGGCAGATAAAGTAGAGTGCATCTGCTCCAGAGACCTCGGCATATGAAGGGTTAGTGTGGTCGGCACCATGCCCAGCTGTCTTTTTGCTCTAACGTGAGTTAGGCACCCACCAGAGCTGGGTGGACTCAGGGACGTTCTACTGACTTAAACCAGGTTTTGAATTTGAGACTTTTGAGTTAGCCATCTAGCTCTCTACAGCTAGGCTACGATGTCCCATATTATTTAACTACACACGTTTAAACAGCCTCAAGTCTGTTGCCTGGTCTGGGTGCCCAAAAAAAGTTTAATTCCTTTTGTTCTTAATTTTTTAAATCCTTTAGAATTAAACAATTTTTTTTAAAATACAAACTTATTTATATATATTTTTAAAAAATTTACAAAAGAATTATTTTTTTAACTCAAGTTATTATTGTAGATTTTGTTTCAAACTTTGGTTTAATATTGAATGTTTGATGTAATATTGAATGCTTGATGTAATATTGAATGCTTGATGTAATATTGTATGCTTGATGTAATATTGAATGCTTGATGTAATATTGAATGTTTGATGTAATATTGAATGCTTGATGTAATATTGAATGCTTGATGTAATATTGAATGCTTGATGTAATATTGAATACTTGATGTAATATTGAATGTTTGATGTAATAATGAATACTTGATGTAATATTGAATGCTTGATGTAATATTGAATACTTGATGTAATATTGAATGTTTGATGTAATATTGAATGCTTGATGTAATATTGAATGTTTGATGTAATATTGAATACTTGATGTAATATTGAATACTTGATGTAATATTGAATACTTGATGTAATATTGGATGCTTGATGTAATATTGAATGCTTGATGGTATATGTGTGATGTAATATTGAATGCTTGATGTAATATTGAATGTGTGATGTAATATTGAATGCTTGATGTAATATTGAATGCTTGATGTAATATTGAATACTTGATGTAATATTGAATGCTTGATGTAATATTGAATGTGTGATGTAATATTGAATACTTGATGTAATATTGAATGCTTGATGTAATATTGAATGCTTGATGTAATATTGAATGCTTGATGTAATATTGAATACTTGATGTAATATTGAATGCTTGATGTAATATTGAATGTGTGATGTAATATTGAATACTTGATGTAATATTGAATGCTTGATGTAATATTGAATGTTTGATGTAATATTGAATACTTGATGTAATATTGAATACTTGATGTAATATTGAATACTTGATGTAATATTGGATGCTTGATGTAATATTGAATGCTTGATGGTATATGTGTGATGTAATATTGAATGCTTGATGTAATATTGAATGTGTGATGTAATATTGAATGCTTGATGTAATATTGAATGCTTGATGTAATATTGAATACTTGATGTAATATTGAATGCTTGATGTAATATTGAATGTGTGATGTAATATTGAATACTTGATGTAATATTGAATGCTTGATGTAATATTGAATGTTTGATGTAATATTGAATGCTTGATGTAATATTGAATGTTTGATGTAATATTGAATGCTTGATGTAATATTGAATGTGTGATGTAATATTGAATACTTGATGTAATATTGAATGCTTGATGTAATATTGAATGCTTGATGTAATATTGAATGCTTGATGTAATATTGAATGTGTGATGTAATATTGAATGCTTGATGTAATATTGAATGCTTGATGTAATATTGAATACTTGATGTAATATTGAATACTTGATGTAATATTGAATACTTGATGTAATATTGAATACTTGATGTAATATTGGATGCTTGATGTAATATTGAATGCTTGATGGTATATGTGTGATGTAATATTGAATGCTTGATGTAATATTGAATGTGTGATGTAATATTGAATGCTTGATGTAATATTGAATGCTTGATGTAATATTGAATACTTGATGTAATATTGAATGCTTGATGTAATATTGAATGTGTGATGTAATATTGAATACTTGATGTAATATTGAATGCTTGATGTAATATTGAATGCTTGATGTAATATTGAATGCTTGATGTAATATTGAATACTTGATGTAATATTGAATACTTGATGTAATATTGAATACTTGATGTAATATTGAATACTTGATGTAATATTGGATGCTTGATGTAATATTGAATGCTTGATGGTATATGTGTGATGTAATATTGAATGCTTGATGTAATATTGAATGTGTGATGTAATATTGAATGCTTGATGTAATATTGAATGCTTGATGTAATATTGAATACTTGATGTAATATTGAATGCTTGATGTAACATTGAATGTTTGATGTAATATTGAATGCTTGACGTAATATTGAATGCTTGATGTAATATTGAATGCTTGATGTAACATTGAATGCTTGATGTAATATTGAATGCTTGATGTAATATTGAATGCTTGATGTAACATTGAATGTTTGATGTAATATTGAATGCTTGATGTAATATTGAATGTTTGATGTAATATTGAATGCTTGATTTAATATTGAATGCTTGATGTAACATTGAATGTTTGATGTAATATTGAATGCTTGATGTAATATTGAATGCTTGATGTAATATTGAATGTGTGATGTAATATTGAATACTTGATGTAATATTGAATGCTTGATGTAATATTGAATGCTTGATGTAATATTGAATGCTTGATGTAATATTGAATGCTTGATGTAATATTGAATGCTTGATGTAATATTGAATGCTTGATGTAATATTGAATGCTTGATGTAATATTGAATGTTTGATGTAATATTGAATGGTTGATGTAATATTGAATGTTTGATGTAATATTGTATTTTTGATGTAATATTGAATGCTTGATGTAATATTGAATGCTTGATGTAATATTGAATGCTTGATGTAATATTGAATGCTTGATGTAATATTGAATGCTTGATGTAATATTGAATGCTTGATGTAATATTGAATGCTTGATGTAATATTGAATGCTTGATGTAATATTGAATGCTTGATGTAATATTGAATGCTTGATGTAATATTGAATGCTTGATGTAATATTGAATGCTTGATGTAATATTGAATGCTTGATGTAATATTGAATGCTTGATGTAATATTGAATGTTTGATGTAATATTGAATGCTTGATGTAATATTGAATGCTTGATGTAATATTGAATGCTTGATGTAATATTGAATGCTTGATGTAATATTGAATGCTTGATGTAATATTGAATGCTTGATGTAATATTGAATGCTTGATGTAATATTGAATGCTTGATGTAATATTGAATGCTTGATGTAACATTGAATGTTTGATGTAATATTGAATGCTTGATGTAATATTGAATGTTTGATGTAATATTGAATGCTTGATTTAATATTGAATGCTTGATGTAACATTGAATGTTTGATGTAATATTGAATGCTTGATGTAATATTGAATGCTTGATGTAATATTGAATGTGTGATGTAATATTGAATACTTGATGTAATATTGAATGCTTGATGTAATATTGAATGCTTGATGTAATATTGAATGCTTGATGTAATATTGAATGCTTGATGTAATATTGAATGCTTGATGTAATATTGAATGCTTGATGTAATATTGAATGCTTGATGTAATATTGAATGTTTGATGTAATATTGAATGGTTGATGTAATATTGAATGTTTGATGTAATATTGTATTTTTGATGTAATATTGAATGCTTGATGTAATATTGAATGCTTGATGTAATATTGAATGCTTGATGTAATATTGAATGCTTGATGTAATATTGAATGCTTGATGTAATATTGAATGCTTGATGTAATATTGAATGCTTGATGTAATATTGAATGCTTGATGTAATATTGAATGCTTGATGTAATATTGAATGCTTGATGTAATATTGAATGCTTGATGTAATATTGAATGCTTGATGTAATATTGAATGCTTGATGTAATATTGAATGCTTGATGTAATATTGAATGTTTGATGTAATATTGAATGCTTGATGTAATATTGAATGCTTGATGTAATATTGAATGCTTGATGTAATATTGAATGCTTGATGTAATATTGAATGCTTGATGTAATATTGAATGCTTGATGTAATATTGAATGCTTGATGTAATATTGAATGCTTGATGTAATATTGAATGCTTGATGTAATATTGAATGTTTGATGTAATATTGAATGGTTGATGTAATATTGAATGTTTGATGTAATATTGTATTTTTGATGTAATATTGAATGCTTGATGTAATATTGAATGCTTGATGTAATATTGAATGCTTGATGTAATATTGAATGTGTGATGTAATATTGAATGCTTGATGTAATATTGAATGCTTGATGTAATATTGAATGTTTGATGTTTACCAGAACCAAGAAACGTGTGGGCGGCTCCTTCTCCCCTGGCCTGAAGATCACAGCCAAGCTGTTTGTTGTGTCCCATGATGCCAAGCTGCTGTTTAGTGGGGGTCACTGGGACAACAGCCTGCAGGTCTACAACCTGGTTAGGCCAAAGGTCATCAACCACATTGTCAGGCATATAGGTCAGTTTTCTTTTGTCCTCTGCACAGAAGTCAGTTTTCTTTTGTACTAATTTCTCTGGGTTCTGTTTCATAAAACATTCAATGTGATTTATTAAAAACATGAGATTAATAATTTTCTGAAACATAACAAATTTCTTAACTACCTTATAAGAAAGATGTTTCTTACTAATTTTTAATTTAAATTTTACTTTGCATTGTGTTCAGTTATAATGTTTCTCTCGCTTACTTACACTAACTATAACTCCTCACCATTGCTTTCTTTCCCCAACTAGATATAATCACCTGCCTAGCTTTGGACAACTGTGGAAGGCATTTGGTCACTGGGTCAAGGGACACAACTTGTATGGTATGGGAGATAATACAACAGGTAAATATATTAACATGTTTCAGCTTTTACAGTGAGGAAAAAATATACCTGGTTTTTATTTACTTATTTTATGCTTTTAAAATAATTATATTTTATGAGTGAGACAGTTTGAACAATTTTTTAATTTAAATATAGCTATTTTGCAGTAGAAGACGTAACAAATTAAAATATTGTGTTAATGTCACTATTGCAAGTCACTGTTCAGTTAAAAATTGTTCATTTTGGGATTTCAATTTATGGATTTTCGTTTGATAAAAATGTATGGTTATTTTCAAATCAATCATTGTATGACACCCCTAAAGACTGGAATAGATAAACTAAAAACCCATTATTTCTGCTTTGACAGGCTGGTGTTAGTGTCAACTTGAGCAACAAACCCCTACAGACACTGTACGGTCATGACTCTGAAGTGACAGCTGTCCACATCTCTACTGAACTGGACCTGGTCGTCTCAGCCTCCAAGGTGTGTTCATTAAATCCGGGTCAAGAATTGCTGCCTTTTTTTTCTGAAAACTGTTGCGCTATTACGTTTGTTGAATATAAATATTTAGACATTGGCTCATTATAATAAACATATCATTCTTGTCCTAACATAACCCTATGATTAGATATTAGTAAAACATAATATCATTAAGTATATTTATGCAAATCAATTAGGCTTATATTATAAAATATAATAGGCTTATATATAAAATCACACTTACCACTTGTTCTTATGTTTATTGTTGAATATGATCAATTGAATCTACAGTATATTGAAAGTTCTTTAGTTATTTTATGAATTACTTAATATTTGACTACAAAAGTTTTAAAATACAAGAATTTAGTAGTATTATTTTGAACTATATTAGTATAGATCTGTATGATAATAGAACTTTATAATAGTAGAACATTATGATATCGAACAGTAAAAATTTTAATGTCTAAACAGCATAATTATAGAGATGTATAATTTATAACTTTTTAAACTATGGAGTTGTATAAATATGACTACATGTTATAGGGCCCTGCAGTATAAAACTTATCATGCTTCATAATATAAAATTATTATTACATGGGTGTTTAATATAAAACTATGAGAAATATTTTATAAAAGATATGATGTCACTACCTCACCGCAGGATGGCACAGTTATACTACACACAGTCCACAAAGGTCATTACACAATGACCCTGAGGGCCCCCTCACAGATGGGCTGGACACTGGACATTCCTCTGATGGCCGTCTCTGACACGGGGCAGATAGTGTTGTACTGTGTGGAGATGGAGAAACAGGCAGGAGAGGGCAGGAAGAGACAACAGGTCAAGTTTTCTTTATGGAAGTTTTGTTTTGTTTATTTAGATAAAATCCAATGGTTTTTATAAGTGATGAATTGTTGTAATAGTAGGGGGAGGGGTCGTTCATAAATGACGTCACACTCCTAGGGGGAGGGGGTTCTTACTTTTGTGATGATGTTTGATGGGGGGAGGGATGTTTCAGATAGTGTGACGTCACACTTGTGCATGAAAAAGTAATGTTAGAAACTCAATTTAAGCTGTGTTGTGAGGTCATTTTGTGGGGGGGGGGGGGGGGGGGAGATTGACCCAAAACCAAAAAGTGTGACATCATTTTTGGACGACCCCAAACGAAAATCACATTAAATTTATAGTTTTATTATGTTGTTAAGATTACAAAATATTTAAACAAATTTTATCTGAAATTAGTTCATTGCTGTTTTTATTTTTATTTTCAAAACGGTTTCTTAACAAAAATGTTTTAAAAAACTTGTTGAATAAGTTATTTACACTCAGAAATGTTTATTTCACTAGGAAAAAAAGTCTTGTGTGCACAAATATAAATTTTCAAAAACTATTACTTTTTTATTACTTACAGTTTTAATATTTTTAAATTGGATAATTTTGTTTTTAAATATTTCTATTGTAAATTGTTTCCCTTTAGGAGAGGCATTGTTTACACCTGTACTCTGTCAATGGTAAACATTTGTTTAGTGAACCCCTGCAGCACAGCCTGGGGGACATGTGCATGTCTGGTGACCATCTGGTGCTGGGCAACGATGCCGGACAGCTCATTGTCATGGAGATTTTTGGGTCAGTCTATTCTTATTTATGCCTAATTGTTTTTGTGTTTTTCCATTGTGATGCATGTAGGGTTTCCTGCAACTTATTTCTAATCATCTGTAATTTTAGTCCTTCTTATCTAGTAAAAACAGGTCTGCATAAAACTTTCACAAGATTAAGTAGCTTAAATATCACTTTTTTTTGTATATACATATAACAATACCTATGTACTATTTAAAAAGGTAATCAATTAATGAAAAACTTTCACAAGAAAAACTTTCATTAGGTGGCTTAAATAATTTAACTTTTTTCTTTTGTATATACATATTTATAACAATATCTATGTACAAATTAAAAAGTTAATCAGTTAATGAAAAACTTTCACAAGATTAGATGGCTTAAATAAATCAACTTCCTTTTCTGTTGTATTGACAACACACAATACAATGTAAAACACGTGAATTTTAACCATAAGTTTGTGTTCCTTCTTGTATATACACATATAACGATATGTATGTACAAATTAAAAAGGTAATCATTCAATGAAAAATGTTCATTTATTTTTCTCAAATATGCAGCACACAATGTGAATTTTAAAACTAATTTATGTAGTAACAAAAAAAATTTTCTCCGTCAGCCTGAGGCCAATGACGACCATGGAACTTTTGGTCCCCATCCAGTGTGTCACCCTATCCAATGGGAGCAGTCACGTCCTGGCCGGCCTAAAGGATGGGAAACTCATCATTGTTGGCAACAAGGGGAAGAATTAGTTGCTGTTGAACAAACAATTTACAAGTCTTTCATCCAAGGGAAACAACCACCGGAGAAAAATTCCAAGAGAAGTTAACTGTGGGGTGATTTTCGATTTGGATAAAATTAGAAAATTGTGTTTTAAATAAATGTTTAATTTAAACCAAAAGTAAATACGAAATAAACTTAAAAATACAGTATCAAAAACATTTAGATTAGGTATTTTAATTGTATAACGGTTTTTTAATGTGTAATCTCAGAATATATTTAAAACGGCCACTTTTTTTTAAATTTTGCAATCTGTAAAATTTAAACAATGGCCATTGATACCATTGCTCTGACACTACTTTGTCGAAACTGTGGGCTAATGTTTTTTAATTTGCTGTTTTATTACATGAAACAATAAAATACCCTATTAGTACAGTCTCAGCTACCTTTTAATACTCTGGTATTCTTATGGGTTGTGTTTGCTAAATTAATAAGTTAAATTTTTTAACTCAAAAGTGTATTATAATATTGGTTTTATCCTCTCTCATATCAAACTGATTTTTGTTTTAGCATTTTTACAGCCTAAAAAAACTCATTGTAAAAAATAGTGTTTTTGGTTTGTTTTGTTTCTTATTGTTGAATATCATTGTGTTACTAAAAATAACCACATGACAAATTGTGGTCCAACTTTTTCAATGTACAAATGGCTGCTGGGACTAGCTGGCAGATCTGCTGTGATTAGACTCATTTTATTCCCATAATTATTTATTATATAATACTCTTTTATTTCGTATGAAACAATTGTTTGGAGATAGTTTTTGACTTAATAGTAAATATGCATAATTGTGTGGTTAAGTGAAATGAACAAATGGGGCATTAATAAGCTTAAACCAATGTGAAAAATTTGTAATTATTTTTTACTTTCTCGTATATACGAAGTATAGAGAAAGTATTGTAATCGTGCACAAAAATCACTTGAAATTTTAACAATTTTCACTGTATTACACCTCAGTCCTTCATCACATCCGAAGTATAGAGGACTTATTTTAATCGGGCAAAAATGATCAATCCAGATTTATCAAAATTAAGAGGTTTTATGCGTAATCCAGTCTGAAAAACTGGGCTTTGCAATTCTGTCCGTATGTCTGTGTGTCTGTCTGTCTGTCCGTGTGTAAACACGATAACTTGAGTACCGTTACAGCTAGGTTGATGAAATTTCATATATAAGTATTTTATCAAAATCGTAGATCCGTATCAACTTTTGAGCGATTTCCGATAACCAGAGGTGGTACTTTTTCTACTTTGAATTTTTCAAAAGCCTATAACTTGAGTACTATTTCAGATAGATAAATGAAATTTCACATGTAAGTAAAAGATCTAATTCTCTACCTTCTGTTAAATTTTGAGTAATTTCCATTGACCGGAAGTAGTAATTTACGCTACTTCCGATTTCTCAAAAAACTAATGTAAATTTTTAAAGTACTAATAATATTGCGCACTATTATGCACTTTTTTATTTTGCGTTCACTTGGTGTGCAATTTTTTTGTCTACGAGATTTTATTCAATTTTCAAAACTTTAAGTATTTAAAATGGATTAAAAATCATGTCTATAGCCCCAGTTCCCATCCCCTGTTGTTTTATATAAGAATATTCGAGAAAGTTTAGGGGAGATTACTCCCGGTTTATTTTTTAAATTATTTGTAGTAAATTTAGTTTTTTTAAATCTAGTCAATTAGGTAGTTTGGCTTGGTTTCTTTTTTTAATTAAATTAGCTAGCATTAATTAAATCATTGTGGGTGTGATATTTTAAATTATACTTTTTAAATATCATATAAGAGAAGTTGAAATATTTTCCTTTATCCATTGTAATGCTAATAGAATGTAGGTAATCGTTGATTTCTCTTATGTAAATATTGAAATAAGTAATATTGGCCATAAATTACTTCAAATTTAAACCTATGTGGAAACCTATTTAAGCTTTAAAGATTTAACAATTATTAGTTATTCTCTCTATGAATTTATGAGAGTATGGTTAATTATTTAAATCTGTTTTCAAATTGAATCTGAATGACCTACAATGATCAGTGAAATTTATGTTTATGATTTATCCACTATATCTACATTCCAATCAGTTTTTTTTTTTAATTTTAATGCAAAGATAAGGGAATATCTAAAAATACAATATCTATTTTAAAACTGATATTTTTATGCACATATATTATGTAGACCAGTACTATGAATAGCATATCTAACATATTGTATTTGCTAATGCATTGAAGTACTAGCTTCTGTTTGTGATAATAAGTTGATGTAGTTAGGCAATATGTCTCAGTGTAGTTTTTATAATGATTTGCTATGCTGTTTTTGAATTGTATTTCTACATGTTTTGTTAGGAATTGATCATGTGATCTTTTTTATATGCCTTGATATGTGTGTAAGTCTGTTATATTGTACATGTGTATGGCTGTGAACGCGTATATATATATATGTGTCGCTGTGTACATATATAGATTGCTGTATGCATGTATGTTGCTGCGTACAGACAAGATGCCTTGTACATGATTTCTGCAGTGTATGTGTATGTTGCTGTTTACTCATATGCTACTGTGTTTACATATGTTGCTGTGTATGTCGTGCTGCTGTGTACGTGATTGTTGCATCGTACATGCCTTGTGTTATATACCACTTGTTTTTCTTGATTTGCGTACATGCCTTCTACTGTGTACATGATGTGCCATCTGTACACGCCTGGTTGCTCTGGGGGTTGGGGAGGGTGGCCTGTAGGGTCAGTGGTATCCTGGCTACTTAAGTTTTACTGGGGGGGGGGAGGCTGTGGGGGGGGGATGTACTAATGACAAGGATTACCTAACAGTCAACACTGCAATGTTTGTAATTGAATTGTTTACAACTTGTAGTTCAAGAAAATCAATGTTTTCAATTTAATGTTCTCATCCCTTTGCTCAATGATTCAAAGTTAATTAAATAGAGTACCCTACAGTTTGAAATACTGTTACCATACTATATTATTCTCATTATATATTAAAGTAGACATATTACCTCCCCTTTAGTATTTAGACATATAAGTAACTTCCCCTTATTTTCCTGTCTTGTTTATATTGTTCTGGCTGCATGTCAGTTTGTTTAATACTTCTTTGTCAATGAAAATATTTTCCATGAACCAATTGCGTTTGTCATGCCATAGCTAATTAGTCTAATTAGTTCCACAAATGGATAGTTCTCATTCCTAACTATTGCTGTTATATCTACACTATTGTTATAGAGTATCAATCATTGTAACCAGACTGTAACTATCAGTTATTGTAACATTAACTATTGTTATAGTCGGACCATTGCTGTATCTGGACATAATTAAACTATTGTTGTATTGTACCTGGATCATCATTTATTGTAAACAGATTATGGTTAAATCTGGACCATCATTTTGGACTTTTTATAATTGGACTGACGTAATTAGACTTTTATTGTAATTAGACTAGTTGTATACTCAAACGTCTACATAAAATATATGATAACTTTTATTATATTAATTAGCATTTTTTATATGGAATGGACCATGTTTAAACTGACCATCACATTTTCCATAACTGTTTTGTTTTTCTTTAAACTGGATGGTCACCTCACCCTCATATTAAAACTTGTTCCAGTGAATCATCTGTTTAGTTTTTTACCCTTGTTCCTAATGTGTTGTGCCATATAGACTTCATCTCTGGTTTAACTTACTAACCAGTGTAAGAGTATTAAATACAGCAGTTCTCAAAAGTTTTAAACCTTTGGGCCCCATTTCTAAATAGCATTTATCATCTTATCTGTTAGATATTTCAATATCTTTAGTTTGTTTCCAATCAAATTAAATCATTGCTTTTTATCTTGAGTTCTTCTTTATTTAGATTAGTATATTTCAAGATTATCTATTTTCCATATTTTCATTACATGTTATTTATAGTATTTTAAGCTCATGTCTTGATGTGCCATTTATGACGTGAGTTATTACAATTAAGCCACACCCACATATTGATTTCGCAGGTTATACTACTACATCCTTCCCAATTTAAATTGTATCCAATAACCTCATCTTCAACCTAAAACCTAACCTGACCCTAAGCTTCCATATGTTGAACACCTGTTAGATAAATATCTGGGTATGGCTAACCAATAAGATCCAACAACTATCATATGTTATATCATAAGTCTCTCCTATTCCTATGTTATATCATAAGTCTCCAGAGGCGTAGCGACCCTTCCCGGCGCCCGGGGACAAACTTTCAATTTGGCGCCCCCCTCGGGAGCAAATTTTCAATTTGCACCCCCCCCCTCAAACTTTTGATTTGCACCCCCCTCTCAAACTTTTGATTTGCACCCCCCCCCCCCTAACCCTAACCCTAACCTGCAAAAATGCAGCTAAAATGACATTTTAATTTGTTTTTACAACCCATTTTGGCGCCCCCTAAGGTCGGCGCCCGGGGACATATTAACCCCCCTGCCCCCCCATCACTACACCTCTGTACGTCTCTCATATGTTATATCATATGCCTCACATATGTTATATCATATGCCTCACATATGTTATATCATATGCCTCACATATGTTATATCATATGCCTCACATATGTTATATCATAAGTCTCTCCTATGTTATATCATAAGTCTCTCATATGTTATTTCACACGTCTCTCATATGTTATATCATACGTCTCTCATATGTTATACTTTAGTTTCTACTCTGTTGAGCTCATATGAACCAAACTGTTCATGTTATATTGTACTTACTGTATGTTGCTGTGAATGTATACAATATGTTAGACTCATCCTATGTATTTATCAGCTTCTGTTATGGTGGGTAAATAAATCAATTTCAGTCTTGACTCTGCTCAAGTTTTTAAATTGAAGCATAAATCAGATTCAACAATTAAAGTTTGACACAGCTTATACAGTATACTATACCTTTGTCATATGTCACATGGCCATATTATATTATTTTTAAAAATGCACATTTGTTTTGCTCATTAAATTATTGTCTCATAAACACAATGTATCATTGGTCATTTCATATCACTGAACCCATTTATGTTTATAGTTATTATTATTAGTCACGTGACCGCAATCGGCCAATCACATTTCTTCCCTTGCCAACACTTGTAAAATTTAAATTGAGTATTGTTTTAATTATTTCCCTTGCAAAAATTTACCTTTAACACTTTCAGTTTGAAATTGCACTTGTATATTTTAACCTTGCTTCAGTTGTTTTTTTTTTTAATAATAGTATGTAACAATTTTAAAAGTATAGAGATCTTATTATAGACTAGTAAAAATACAGTTGAAATATTTTGGGGAACATTCTATTCTATTATAAATAGTTTTGGTAATATTTATTCTAAATACCAGCCATTTTATTTTAATTTGTAGTGCAATACAGTATTTGACCATTGTTGATATATACCCGCGATAAAGCAACATTCCTGCTTATTTTGTTTTAGAAAAATAAAATATTTTGTTATTCCTATAATTTTATATATACTTATAAGAGTAAAATGTGTCCATCTTGTATTTACCTCCCTTCCCTAGTTTTAGCAATATGAGTTGTCTACCTTGGCTAGCAATAGGAATTGTTTACCTTGGATAGCCAATTTTAAAAAAAAAAAAATTCCTACGTGTTGTAAAAACCAAACACATGAACATGTTTTTATCACATCAATCCATGAAATAAAATAAATGAACTATTATTATAAACATGCTTCCATCTTGTTTAATTGTATTATGTGACGTTTATATGGGGTTTATGTTATCTTTCATTTTAGTGTGCATCTAGTCGGGAAGCACCAATCCGTCCTCCTCCGTCCATCTGTGCCCCCCCCCCCTAAACAGTGCACCTCCACCCTCGAAGTCGAAGACAA